AAAGATCAGGGCGTGGAGAGCAGTGCGCGGGGACGGTGCCGGGAAGCCGGTGCGGGCGAGCCGGTCGGGCGAGCCGGTGCGGGAGTTGCCCCTGCGGGAGGGGCTGATCGGACGGACGGGCGGGGCTGTCGGGCGGAGCCGGTGCGGCGGAGCCGGTCGGGAGGAGCCGGTGCGGGGAGGAGCTGTGCGGAGGGAGCCGGACCGGGCGTGCCTGTGCGGGGCGGAGCCGGTGCGGGGAGGAGCCGGTGCGGGCGGAGCCGGTGCGGGGCGGAAGCGTGTGGCGGAGCCCGGGTGGGGCGAGCGGTGCGGGAGACCGTGCGGCGGAGCCGGTGCGGGGCGGAGCCGGTGCGGGGCGGGCGGTGCGGGGCGGGGCCGGCACGGGCAGACCCACCTCAGAGCGTCGTCCTGTGAGGAGTCGTCTCTGGCTTCGCTATTCTGACCTGGAAAGACCTTGGGGGAGACGAGGGCAGCCCACGCGGCGTCTCCAGCCCCGGTGCCTGGGCGTCCGCACGCAAGGCGTGGAGGACACCCCTAGCCGGGGTTTCGCAGTCTCCTAGCTTTTCTGCAGATGCTAATTTCCAGGCTGGCTCACGGTTGAGCAGAAGGGACGTTGGTCCTCACTTCCTAGGGAAGGGTATCGCAGTGTTTCGTCACCTCCCAGCCGGCCCTCGGCACAGATTTGGCTTAAACTGGGCGTGAATGGTGTCTGCTTATCAGAAAGTGGATGATACTGTGGGCATGTGTGTGTGCAGGTACACGCATGTGCATCCGTGTGCGCCTGTGTCTGCATGTGTGTGCGAGTGCCACGGTTGGTCTGGGCCCGCCTGCCATCGGGTCTGGAGCCATCCGTGGAGTCGTGTGCGGGATGCTGGGGCTGGTTAGGGCTGAGGCCCCCGGCTGCGCGGGCTCAGCATGGCGGGAGGCTCCACCCACGCAGCCACCTGGCCCCAGGCGCCTGCGTAGGAAATCCATGTGCAGGACACCCCCGCGGCGATCTGGCCTGCGATGGGACAGTGGCAGGCAGTGCACACTCCAAAGGTTCATGGAAGACTTTCTGTAAGCTTTTCTTGCACCTTTTCCGTGAGTTTGAGATTGTTTGAAAATGAAAACGTTTTAGTTCAATGGATCAGTTTAACCACTTTGGTATGAGCATCGACTTTAGCCGACAGCCGTCATATGAAGGTGCACAGCCGAGTATGGACTTTAGCTGACAGCCGTGATATCAAGGCGCACAGCCGAGTATGGACTTTAGCTGACAGCCGTCATATGAAGGTGCACAGCCGAGTGTCGACTTTAGCTGACAGCCAACATATGAAGGTGCACAGCCGAGTATGGACTTTAGCTGACAGCCGTCATATGAAGGTGCACAGCCGAGTGTCGACTTTAGCTGACAGCCGTCATATGAAGGTGCACAGCCGAGTGTCGACTTTAGCTGACAGCCGTCATATGAAGGCGCACAGTCGAGTATGGACTTTAGCTGACAGCCGTGATATCAAGGCGCACAGCCGAGTGTCGACTTTAGCTGACAGCCGTCATATGAAGGCGCACAGCCGAGTATGGACTTTAGCTGACAGCCGTCACATGAAGGTGCACAGCCGAGTGTCGACTTTAGCTGACAGCCGTCACATGAAGGTGCACAGCCGAGTATGGACTTTAGCTGACAGCCGTCAGCCGAGTATGGACTTTAGCTGACAGCCGTCATATGAAGGTGCACAGCCGAGTGTCGACTTTAGCTGAGAGCCGTCATATGAAGGTGCACAGCCGAGTGTCGACTTTAGCTGACAGCCGTCATATGAAGGTGCACAGCCGAGTGTCGACTTTAGCTGACAGCCGTCATATGAAGGTGCACAGCCGAGTGTCGACGTTAGCTGACAGCCGTCATATGAAGGTGCACAGCCGAGTATGGACTTTAGCTGACAGCCGTCATATGAAGGCGCACAGCCGAGTATGGACTTTAGCTGACAGCCGTCATATGAAGGCGCACAGCCGAGTATGGACTTTAGCTGACAGCCAACATATGAAGGTGCACAGCCGAGTGTCTTTAGCTGACAGCCGTCATATGAAGGCGCACAGCCGAGTGTCGACTTTAGCTGACAGCCGTCATATGAAGGTGCACAGCCGAGTGTCGACTTTAGCCGACAGCCGTCATATGAAGGTGCACAGCCGAGTATGGACTTTAGCTGACAGCCGTCATATGAAGGTGCACAGCCGAGTATGGACTTTAGCTGACAGCCGTCATATGAAGGTGCACAGCCGAGTATGGACTTTAGCTGACAGCCGTGATATCAAGGCGCACAGCCGAGTATGGACTTTAGCTAACAGCCGTCATATGAAGGTGCACAGCCGAGTGTCGACTTTAGCTGACAGCCAACATATGAAGGTGCACAGCCGAGTATGGACTTTAGCTGACAGCCGTCATATGAAGGTGCACAGCCGAGTGTCGACTTTAGCTGACAGCCGTCATATGAAGGTGCACAGCCGAGTGTCGACTTTAGCTGACAGCCGTCATATGAAGGTGCACAGCCGAGTATGGACTTTAGCTGACAGCCGTGATATCAAGGCGCACAGCCGAGTGTCGACTTTAGCTGACAGCCGTGATGCAACTTTTCTAACTTTTCATTTCTCAAAATAAAGTTGTGAACGTTTAGAAAACATACATGTGTATGTCACCTATTCTGATTACGTTACAAGTAAAGCTGCCTGTAAAGTAGAACAAGCTTTCATGCTTTCAAGCTTTCCTCATCACACAAGAGCAAAACGGACTCGCTGTCAACGCACAGCACAGACCACCGTGCGACTGTCAGTGCGGCTGTGGGCGAGGCTCCGTGCCGGTAAGCGCGGTCCGGAAGTGGCTGAACACAGCGTGGCCTAACAGACGGAGCCGAGCCTGAACGTGGAGCTCAGCGGCGCCGCGTCAGCAGGGGGAGCGGGCACGGCCGGTGGCCAGGGGTCCCTGGGAGTGTCCTAGCAGCCAAAGCGCCGTCCTCCGGGTCTGGAAGGTCACGGCTGGCTGAGTGTGAAGACGGAGCCTTGGCAGGCGGTGGGCATGTGCGGGGCGGACCCCAACCCGCGTGTGCATGGCCCTCGCGTGGCCCTGGCTGTGGGGTGGAGACTGCGCGTGAGCTCCACGGGCCGTCGCATCTCGGTGGTCTCGTCTCTTCTCTTCCAACGAGCCCCTCAATCTGAGACGCAGCAGAGCGTCCAGGCGATGCGCCGGCCAGCAGCTGGGGGTGGGGCCCCGGGGCGGCGGCCCAGGGGCCTGGGAAGGAGAATCCCGCCATTCGTGTGGTGCCCTGGAGCAGCGCGCCTGCGCCGAGCCCGGGAGCTGTGGCTCCAGGAGCTGGGTGGGCGGTGGCCACGGCCGGCCCTTGTCACCTGCGCTGCGCTGCGCTGCTGGGGGCTGGGTCTGGCTCAGAAATGCCGTTTCCCTGGGGCGTCTGTGACGGTCCATGACCGCCCCCCACTGTGGTGTGTGGGGTTTGGGCAAGGCTGGAGGTCGGCCATCGGGGAGCGTGGCGCGAGACCCCTGTGGCTGGGAGAGGGGCCTCTCCCCCCAGCCGCCTCCGCTCCTGGGAGACAGAGCCTCACTTTGGGGCCCAGCCGGAGAGCCGTGGCCTCAGCACAGCTCATGGCAGCTTCCGGCTCCCGGGCTCCAGCGAGCCTCCTGCTGCAGCCTCCGAGCAGCTGGGACCACAGGCACCACACTTCCTTTTAATTCCTCAGAGCTTCCACATTTTCATTTACCTGGTTTTTTCCTTTATGATTTTTTTTCCTGTTCCTCCCAAGCTGGAAACGTTTCCCTTCTTCCACACATCTGACGATTCTGATGGTTTTGGCATTCTCGGAGTCTCGGGGACGCAGCCCACAGGGCGCCCGAGTCTCTCTGGACTGTCACTCCCGCTGTGCACACAGGCAGCCCAGCCCCCCAGCCTTGAGGCCTCGGGCTGGCGCCACGCAGGCACAGCGGGAAAGGCCCGAGTTGGCCTCCGAGTCCGTCTGGGCATCCTGGCGTCCACAGCCCTCCAGACCACAACGCCCACCTCCTCTGCAGGTGCCAGCCCAGCCCCTCGGAACCTTCCAGAAGCGCTGGGCACGCACTCCCCCTTCCGAGGTCTGGCCTCTTGCGCCAGCTGCTCCCGGCCTCTGCGTCCTGGGCCTGCCGGGCCCCCTCGTGCTCTCAGTCCCTCAGAGGGAAGCCCGTCGCCTCACAGGTCCTGTGGTCGGCTCCACGCAAGGCCCGCCCGCCACGCAGCTCTCTGAGCTCGGGCTGTGGGCGCCGGCACGTGACTTTCTGCCTGGTCTCACCCGCGTCTCTGAGGTGCTGGGGATGTTCTGTTCTCGTTTTGTGGATGAGAAACAGGAGCCCAGAGGCAGGTCCACACCAGTGCCCACATGGGGGCTGGAGCCCCTCCTGCGCCCACGCTGCCCCGGCCAGCCCCAGCCACACGGGAGCGGCCCTGCCAGACCTCCGTGGCTGGGGTCTTAGGACGCGCTTGTTAGGAAGGACGTTGTGGGGTGGCCGGCGGAGCTGCAGAGAGTGCTAAGCAGGCGAAGCTTCGTGTGGGGCCAGGTTCTGTCTTCTCTAACTGCTGCGGCCGGTGTGCGGACGCCTTGCTTTCGCTATGTCCACTCTGACTGGTTCAGAAAAACGTGCGTGTGTGGGCGTGCCTGTTCCTGTGTGTATGTGCGTGCGCGCCTGTGCCCGCCAGTGGGAGGATCGCAGAGGGGTCGTGGCAGAGTGTGAATGTCGGGGGATGGGGTGAAGGCGAACCCAGTTCCTTGCTGTTTTCTTGCAACTGATTGGAAATTTGAAATTATTTCAAAATAAAGCCGCCCCAAGTCAGTGTACTGCTGTAAAATACTTTGCAAACTGATATTGCTTTAAAAAGGAAAGTCCTGCGGGGTCCTGACTGGCCACGTTGCCTCCTGCTGCGCCCACGCTGGGTGCTGGCGCAGCGCGGCCCTCCCTGGGGCCCCTGGGCTCCCTCCGCAGCTGAGCCCCACGCGCTCCCCGCCCAGACGCCCTGGCCTGGCCGGGGGCACCTGGGGCCGAGTGTCCTGAGCCGCCCTGCCGGCCGCGGTGAGGGTTGTGGCTGACGAGAGCTGGGCGGTGAGGACGATTCCCACCGGAGACGGGAGTGCACGCCGGCTTTGCAGCCAACCGGATTCCATATGCTGTTTCCTCTCCCCAAAGTGCTTGCAGGGGGCCTTGACCCGGGCGTGCCCCGGTGGGTGGAGGTGGGGTGCGGAGAGCCGCCGCCTCACGCCGTGTCCCCCGCAGCGCACCTACCGCGTGCCCAAGGAGATCCGCGTGGAGCCCCAGAAGTTCGCGGAGGAGCTGATCCACCGGCTGGAGGCCGTGCAGCGCACACGGGAAGCCGAGGAGAAGCTGGAGGAGCGGCTGAGGCGCGTGCGCATGGTGAGTGGGCTGCGCGCCCGTCTCCGCCGTTTCCGTGCAGGCGGCAAGTCCCGGGGAGCCTCCGAGAGCCCCCGCCATCGGGCCGCCCCAGCAGGGCTGCGCTTGAGGGAACGGGACAGACGGCATCGCCTGCCCTGGGCTCCTGTGGCCACCGCCACCCGCCGGCCAGCAGGAGCTGGTGAGCCGTGCGCGGCAGGGGGGCCGCGATGTGCCGGTCCTTTCCACACGTGTGCCGGTCCTTTCCACACGTGTGCCGGTCCTTTCCACACGTGTGCTGGCTCCTTTCCACACGTGTGCTGGCTCCTTTCCCACGTTGTGCCAGGTCCTTTCCACACGTGCTGGCGTCCTTTCCACACGTGTGCGGTCCTTTCCACACGTGTGCCGTCCTTTCCACCACGTGTGCCGTCCTTTCCACACGTGTGCCGGTCCTTTCCACACGTGTGCTGGTCCTTTCCACACGTGTGCCGGTCCTTTCCACACGTGTGCCGGTCCTTTCCACACGTGTGCCGGTCCTTTCCACACGTGTGCCGGTCCTTTCCACACGTGTGCCGGCTCCTTTCCACACGTGTGCTGGCTCCTTTCCACACGTGTGCTGGTCCTTTCCACACGTGTGCCGGTCCTTTCCACACGTGTGCTGGCTCCTTTCCACGAGTGGGCCCCCCACTGGCTCCTTTCCACACGTGTGCTGGCTCCTTTCCACACGTGTGCCGGTCCTTTCCACACGTGTGCTGGCTCCTTTCCACACGTGTGCCGGTCCTTTCCACACGTGTGCCGGTCCTTTTCCACACATGTGCCGGTCCTTTCCACACGTGTGCTGGCTCCTTTCCACATGTGTGCCGGTCCTTTCCACACGTGTGCTGGTCCTTTCCAAAACACGTGTGCCGGCGCCACAGTGCCCGAGACGTCGACCACGGACACGGCAGGCTCTGTGTCCTCCGTGTGTGACATGTGCATGGAGACCACGGAACAGCCCTCCAGGTGCCGTGGGCTCCCCGTGTCGCCTGCACGAAAGGCCTTGTTGTCCTTCTCGGCAGTCGTGGCTCCTCTGGCGGCACGTGGCCACGGCGGCGTGGTGGTCCTCCAGGTTGGTTTCAGCGTTTCCTGAACATAAATACTTATGGAATAGAAGGGTTTTGTCTATGTGTTTATGTGTCCACACCCTAAGTTTAAAAGAGACCTTTCCCCACCCCCCGGCAGGGCTGCTCTTTCTTTGAGACAAGGTCTCGCTCTATTGCCCAGGCTGAACTGCAGCAGCATCAGCCTAGCTCACTGCAGCCTCCAACTCCTGGGCTCAAGCGATCCTCCTGCCTCGGCCTCCCGAGTAGCTGGGACTACAGGCATGCGCCACCATGCCCGGCTAATTTTCTTTCTATTTTTAGTAGAGACAGGGTCTCACTCTTGCTTAGGCTGGTCTTGAACTCCTGAGCTCAAGAGGTCCGCCTGCCTCGGCCTCCCAGAGTGCAGGGATTACAGGTGTGAGCCACCTTGCCCGGCCTTCGAGCGAGACATTTTAAAGTTGGGTGTAGCTGTAGGTGTTCAGTGAGCTTTTCTAACATCCGAGTCCGAAAGCTTCCTCCACCCGTGGAGTCCCGGCTCTGTCCGTGGCTGGAGGGAGGACGGCAGCGGCACGGTGCTCCCGAGGGCTGGGCTTGCCCTTCAGCTTGACAGAAAGCACCGAGATGCACACCCCTCGGTTCCTCTCGTGTCGGTTCAGGGCGTGCTCTGTGGACAGAGGCTCCCAAGCTCTCAGGCTGCCATGTGTTCTGGCCTGCGGTGGCCTCCGGCTTGGAGCCAGATCCCAGCACACATCGTCTGTCCTGTGGCTGGCGTGGGCCTCGCGCTGCCTGGGGTGCGGCGTGTCTGCCCAGTGGCCGGCCGTGTGATCACAAGGTTGTCACGGTGTGTGATTTTCTAATGTGTCATGCTGTAGAGAGTAGTCCTTTTTAGAAAGGAATAACTCAGATGTTTAAGGTAACTTACTTTCATTGTAAAATGTGGCCCTGTTTGAGGCATCCATGGTGGGCACGCCAGCGTGGGCATGCCTGTCCCCGGCGCACGTGTGAGGAGCTGGCGGCAAACTCACGGACGTTCACGCAAGGTGCAGGGTTGCCCAGCTCATCCCTGGGCCTCGGTGCCAGGCGGCTGGGCGGGGTCGGGTCGGGTTGGGTCCGGGGAGAAGCGGACGGGAGCCGCAACTGCGGAGCTGGAGTGGCCACGTCTCGCGGACAGATCGATTCCGTAGCGCCCGCTTTCCGGGCGCAGATGACATTCCAGGAGCCCTTGGTGTGAGGGGCACGTTCTCGGAGAGAAAGTGTATTTGTGGCAGTAAAACTGAGAATTAGGAAAACTAAAATCTTGGCTTGAAGAAAGCATAGAAAGGGCTGCCTCTGCGGGGCATCGCGTCTGTCCTCGGCACCGTCCACGCCGCTCCCGGGGCCTCGGCGCACAGGGGTCAAGGCCCCGGCGAGGTCCCCTCCGGTCCGCAGGCCGACCCGACCCACGTCCCAGCCCCGCCCAGCTGGGCAGCGCGGCAGGGCCGGTCCTGTTTCCCGAGAGTTTTCCCCGCGTGTCCGGTTCTCACGGGGCCGCCGGCACTGAGAGGTGACGACGCCCGTTGTCCCCGTGCAGGAGGAGGAAGGTGACGACGGTGACCTGTCTTCCGGTCCCCTGGGCGCGAGTCACAAGCTGCCGCCCGGCCCCTCCTGGCACCACTTCCCGCCGCGCTACGTGGACATGGGCTGCGCCGGGCTCCGGGACGCGCACGAGGAGAACCCCGAGAGCATCCTGGACGAGCACGTGCAGCGGGTGCTCCGCACGCCCGGCCGCCAGTCGCCCGGGCCCGGCCACCGCTCCCCCGACCCCGGGCACGCGGCGAAGGTGCCGGCGGCACTGGGGGGCGGCTCCTCTGCGCACAGCAAGCACCTGCCCAAGTCAGGCGCGAAGCCCGACGTGGCCGGGCTGCACCACCACCGGCACGTCCACCACCACTTGCACCACGGCACCGCGCGGCCCAAGGAGCCGGCCGAGGCAGAGGCCGCCCGCAGGGCCCAGGCCGGCTTTGCGTGGGGCCTGGAGCCACACGGCCATGGAGCCAAGCCCCGCGGCTACTCAGACAGCGCGGGCGCCGGCGACGGCCTGGCCCACGGGTGAGTGTGTGCCGCCGAGCCGCGCGCCGTGGGCGTTATGGCTGCGTGGCCGCGTGCCGTGGCTGCTCATGGCACCCCCCTGCGCCTGTGCTGGGAGGTGCTTTTCCAGGGGAGGTTGAGGCACAAGACTGTGGCCTTGTGGGAGGCCAGAACTTCCTGTGAAGCTCAAGGGAAACCCACGGCTGCGGCCAACACGCATGACCCAGCCTCTGCTGGGCGTTCCCAGGCCTGGCGAGGGCCCCGGGCGCGTGGTGGGGTGTGCCTGGCTCGCAGGAGCCCGCGGGGCCGGTGGAGTCAGCTGTGCCGGTGCCTGCGTGGGGGAGGCGGCCGCCGAGCCCGTCCCCAGACGGCACCGGAGCAGGCGGCAGCCAGCGGGCCCCTCGGGGGGTCGAGGACGGGGGTGACGCGCAGGTCTTGTTCCCGCAGCGGGAAAGCGGCTGCGCCCTCCAAGAGGAACGCCAAGAAGGCCGACGCTGGGAAGGGTGCCGGCGTCGAGGTGCCGGGGCCCTCAGAGGACGCGGAGAAGACGCAGAAGATCATGCAGTGGATCATTGAGGGGGAGAAGGAGATCAGCAGGCACCGCAAGGCCGGCCACGGGTGAGGGGCGCCCACTCGGCCTGACCCCACCCACGGGAGCGAAGCGGGCGTTGGGGGCCGTGGCGCAGCTGTAGTGTGTAGAGTGGCCCGCTGGGGCGAGCGTCCCCTCTGGCCCCCACTGCCTGCAGGCGGGAGGCTGGGGTGCGGCCCAGGAGGGTTGATCTGGGCTGGCAGCGCCGCCAGGTGAGCATGAGCCGAGTCACTGGAAAGTGAATCGGCCGCTGCCGGTCTCTGCAGACACAGCCCGGGAGAAGCCTCCTGTGCCCCCGTCACCCCAGCCGCTGGGGTCCTGTCTGGTCCTTACCTCCCCAGCGTCCCCTACAGGGAGGCTGTGGTCTCTGTGGCATGTGGCGTGCAGAGAGCCACGTGTCCAGAATTGTGGCTGTTACGCCACGTGTTTTTTTTTTTTTTTTTTTTTTGAGACAGAGTCTCTCTCTGTTGGCTCGGCTAGAGCGAGTGCCGTGGCACCAGCCTACCTCACAGCAACCTCAAACTCCTGGGCTCGAGCGATCCTCCTGCCTCTGCCTCGCGAGTAGCTGGGACTGCAGGCATGCGCCACCATGCCCGGCTAATTTTTTCTATATATATTAGTTGGCTAATTAATTTCTTTGTATTTATAGTAGAGACGGGGTCTCGCTCTCGTTCAGGCTGGTTTTGAACTTCTGACCTCGAGCAATCCGCCCACCTCGGTCTCCCAGAGTGCTAGGATTATAGGCATGAGCCACCGCGCCCGGCCTCTTTCTATTTTTTTTAGTAGAGAGGGGGTCTCGCTCTTGCTCAGGCTGGTCTCAACCTCCTGAGCTCAAGCAATCCTCCCGCCTTGGCCTCCCAGAGTGCTGGGATTACAGGCGTGAGCCACCGTGCCCGGCCATGCCACATGTTCTTGAAGGGTCGGGGGCACAGCGGCATGCTGCGTGCAGTTTCTGATTGATGATATTGTGGATGATTTGCATTTTCATTTTAATTTCCCATGTATTTCAGATTCTTCACAATGAACACTTTAATATGAAGAACTTTTTTGACCAATAAAAATTCTACATTTTTTTTTATACAAAGGCTATATAAAGCCTTTTAAATTTTTTTATTTTTGTTTTAGAGACAAGGCCTTGCTCTGTTGCCTGGGCTGGAGTGCAGTGGTGAGATCACAGCTCACTGCAGCCTCCAACTCCTGGGCTCAGGCGATCCTCCTGCCTCAGCCTCCTCAGTAGCTGGGCCCAGGATACTATTTGTATCTCAGCAAAGCTATTAAAAATAAACTATATAAAAAAGAAGTCTGGACAGCATGGTGGTTCACACTTACAATCCCAGCACTTGGGGAGGCCTGACCTTGAGCGATCTTCCTGCCTCGGCCTCCCAGAGCGCTGGGATTTTACAGGCATGAGCCAGTGAGCCACCGCGCCTGGCCTAAAAGAAAATGTTTGTAATTAGCTAGCCGTGTTGGCATGTGCCTGTAGCCCCAGCAGAAAAACAGAAGTCTGCAAGAAAGGGATGTTTTTATCAGGTGTGCTAAGGAGGGCCTTCACAGGGCTCAGTGGCTGGGCCCAAGTGTGCGCCCCGCCCCGCCCTGCCCCTCAGTGGACGCAGACCTGCCGGGTGGGGTGACCGGGGTGTCAGCTTCTGCCACAGCCCTCTCTTGCCCCCCAGGTCTTCCGGGGCGAGGAAGCCACAGGCCCACGAGAGCTCCCGGCCTGTGTCCCTGGAGCGCCCTGGGGCCGTGCACCCCTGGGCCGGCACCCAGCTGCGGGCCTCCGTGCAGCCCTCACACCTCTTCATCCAAGACCCCACGATGCCGCCCCACCCCGCCCCCAACCCCCTGACCCAGCTGGAGGAGGCCCGCCGGCGCCTGGAGGAGGAGGAGAAGAAAGCCAGCAGGCTGCCCTCCAAGCAGAGGTACGGCCACACGGGGCGCGGGGGGCGTTCCTGGGGCCACAGCCCCTCGGACCCGAGGCCCACGGGAGCCCTTGGGGGACCACCTGCTGGGTGCCCGCCCCCGGCAGCCCCTTCTTTCCTCTGGGCACCACCGTAGAGTCGTGGCTGGTGGCCCTGCCGAGGCGCAGAGGGCTGGATGGTGGCATCCTCACCCGGCAGCATCTACCACGCTCACTGTCCCCAAGGAGAGGGTACTCGCTCCAGCCGCTCACGCCGGGCTGTGGGTGGCAGCAGACGCCTGGGCTGGGCAGGCTGGGCAGGCTGGGCTTGGAGGTGGCGTCCTGGTGGCCTCTTAACAGCCACACAAGAGCGCCCCAGGCGCGCGTGGTTTTCGAACTCTCCTCCTGGGGAGACGCTGACACTGCTGCCTCCGGGGCAGGGCGGCTCTGCCCCAGCCACGAGGAGAGCCCCTGTGCGGTGGCCTTCATGTCCCGGCGGGATCTGGCGTTTCCGACCCTTGCGGCTGGGTCTTGCGGTCACAGGGAAGTCCGTCAGGGAGAATCTCTCTCTCGCCTCAGTCCCGTATTGTGGGCTCAGAGGCTGCTGTGACCTGAGAGTGACCGTTCTTCTCGTCCACCCGGGTCACCAGGACTGGCAGCCCCGCGTCTGAGAGGTGTCGGGGTGCAGACCCTGCTGTGCTGCTCGGGGTCGTGGAAGGTTCATGGTGGGCACCAGGCTCTGAGCTGATGGCAGCCTCGGGACAGAGGGTCACAGGTACTTAGGACCCAGAGGGTGGGCCATCTGTGGCTAAATGTCCCCACCCTGTGACTTCGTTCAGCCACCAGAGGGCTGCTCTGGGCGGGAGCCCTTGCACCGGCTCGTGGCCTGGCCGGACAGAGCCCGTGACCTGCAGGCAGGTGGAGAGTGGGGCACGTGGCCGGATCCAAGGCCCTGGGGCCTGCGCGGGCCCCTGACGGGCTTTCTGAGGGCGAGGGTGAGCGGCGGGATTGGCACCTCCCAGACCTGGCCTGGGCAGGGCTCTGGGAGGACAGGCTGCTTCTCCGTCCAGTGACGCCTGCCGTGTGCCGTGGGCGTGGGGAGCCGGCGGCCGCTGCGTCCCTGCCGTGAGGAGAACCTGGCGTTGCCGGGTTGCTTGTCCGGGTGTGCGCGCGTGACCAGCTGCAGACGGCACAGGCCGGGGGCTGGGTCCTGCCAGGCAGGGCAGAGCTGAGACCATCGTCACGGTGACACGGCGCACCCGGGCGTGTGCGGCTGTGCGGAGGGAGCTGCCGCATCTAGAACCCAGGACGGGCTGGGTGTGTGCCGGGGCGTGGCCTCCGGGGTACAGGGGGAGCTGGCAGTGCTCGCCAGAGTTGCGCCGGAGAACTGGGGGGGCACTGACAGACTCCCCGGAGGGCGCTTTGCAGCGTGGAGGCCGCACCCCCACGGTGGGTGGGTGGCAGGATTCTGGCACCCAGATCGGTTTCCCAAAGTGTGTTCCAGGGGCGCCTGGCCGGCCACAGACGCGGCAAGCTCCAGACGAGTGAGTGGCGCCCGTTCTCGGCCGTCCGGCGGGGCCTCCGTGCGTGGGTCCCTCGGCCCCTCCCTCCGCCGCCTGCTTGAAGCCGCTCAGGCTGGTGGCGGCCGGCGCGGCCCCACTGACGCGGTTGTTCCCTAGGTATGTGCAGGCGGTCATGCAGCGGGGACGCTCCTGCGTCAGGCCAGCCTGCGCGCCGGTGCTGAGCGTGGTGCCAGCCGTGTCGGACATGGAGCTCTCCGAGACAGAGTACGTGTGCCCCGGGGTCCTCCAGCACCGCCCACCTCGGCCGGGCGTCCAGCCGGCCGGGCGCAGCGCCCGGAGTGCTGGGGCGGAGCAGGTCCCCAGCGCGCCCCTCCCGCCAGGGCTGCTGGCCGCTGCTGCCACGGCGACCCACTCCCCGAGAGGAGGCCTGGGCCTGGCCGGCCTGCGTCCACCAGGCGTCCCGCCGGGCCTCGGAGAGCAGAGCTGCCTCCTGCCGCCTCTGCCCTCCTGAGCCCCCAGCCGGGCCTGGGACTCGCCGGCCCTGCCCCCGGCCTGAGCGGGTTGGGGGCTGCAGCCGTGGTCCTCACGGGCAGGCGCCAAGGTGCCCACGCAGCCGTTGCGACCGTGCACGCCCAGCGCCCCTTGCAGGCCTGAGTGTGTCGCAGCAGGAACGGGACTGAGCAGAGCCTGGGGGGAGGCGCTGCTGGGTCCACACCCCATGCCCCCCAGGCAGGCGGTGTAGACAGGGCTGATGCCTCCTTCCCACCCTTGTGCTAGGAGACGAGGAGGTTCGCCCCAGAGAGGGGCCTTGAGGTGGGTCCCCAGGCCTCGGCCCCCGTGCACCGAGAGCCTCTGCTTGAGGCGTCGCCAGGCTCGAGCCCTGCGGGCTCCAGGAACAGCACGCGGGAGGGCCAGACACCTGGACCCCAAGTGGCTGGGCGCGCCCAGCTGGTGGGCCGAGTGGCCTGGGTGCTTCCGGAGCGAGGGAGGCCGGGGCTCTGCCTGTCGTCCCAGGCGCTTGGCAGCCCCAGGAGGAGGCCCCTCGCCTGGCAGGAAACGGCGCTGGCCTCGCGCTCTGCGCGCCCGGCCGGCTGCCATCTCTGTCCGCCGGCGGCCCTGCCGTGGGAGCAGGTCCCTCGCAAGCTCGCGGGCCTTCTGTCTGTCCTGAGTTTCGGCGCTTCGGGTCTCGCAGGGGTACGAGCAGCGTGGCCGCTCCTCTGCCCTGGAGGTGGGGTGGCCCAGCCCCCTGCTTCCGCCTGAGCGGCCTGTGTTCACGGTGGCGTGGTCGGGGAGGGGATCCGGACCTGCGTGGTGGTGTCACCGGGCGGGCCGCGCGCCTGGCTGTCGCGGGCGGGCGATGCTCGCTGCCCCGTGAGCGTGAGCGCGGCTGGTGCGGGACCCGGGCGGCAGGCTCCTGGCTCTCCCGAGTGTGGGCAGTCCAGCGCCTGGGTCCTGCCGTCGGGCCCTGGGGGACCCAGGCCTGAGCCCTGTGACCACCCTGTCTGTTCCCAGGACGAAACCCCAGAGGAAGGCGGGCGGCGGCGGGAGCGCGCAGGCCTGCGACAGCGTCGTGGTGGCCTACTACTTCTGCGGGGAGCCCATCCCCTACCGCACTGTGGTGCGGGGCCGCGCCGTCACGCTGGGCCAGTTCAAGGAGCTGCTGACCAAGAAGGGCAGCTACAGGTGAGCACCACGGGGTCACACCAAGGCCCTGGCCTGCCAGTTCCCGCCCGCTCACCCGTGCAGGGCTTGTCTACACCTGTCCATGCCGTGATGGGCCACGGGCAGCGTCGGGACTCGGGCCTCGCCCTGAGCTGCTCAGCCCTGGCGGCCCCGGTGAGTCCGTGGGAGGAGCAGAGGGCAGAGCCGGGACAGCTGGGACGGGGCCTGGGCTCTGGGGGGGGCACGTCCCTGTCACTGCAGGGGAGACGGGGCCCAGCCTCAGGCTTGGCAGCTCCTGCCTGGCAGCGCCCAGAGCCCAGGGCAGGGGCTCCTGGGGGATTATCAGCACCTCCCCACAGGCTGAGCCCATCCGCACGGCGGCTCCGGGTTCACACACCTGCTCCTGGCACTGGCCCGGTCTCCCAGGGCTGGGGGGAAGCACACCGGGGTGGTCCTGGGGTGGGTGTGCGCAGCCCGCGCCGGCCCCAGGAGCGGTCGCCAGGCTCACGGTTCCCCACCACACCCCGCAGATACTACTTCAAGAAAGTGAGCGACGAGTTCGATTGTGGAGTGGTGTTTGAGGAGGTTCGCGAGGACGAGGCCTTCCTGCCCGTCTTTGAGGAGAAGATCATCGGCAAGGTGGAGAAGGTGGACTGACCACCGGGCCGGCCACACGCCACGAGGACAGTCCCGGTGCGCCGCGCATCGGTGTGGCAGGGAAGGGCCGGGTGCACCGCCCTCCTGGCCTGCCTGTGTCTGGCGCGGGCCCACCCGCCCCACGGCCATCCTCAGGGCCCGGCCTCGGCCCCACGGGCGCTCAGCACGGGAGTCCACGTCCCCGCGGGGCTCGCCTGTAGCGGTCTGGCCGGGCCCAGGCCGAGAGCAGGGGCCTCCACGACTTGTACATGTCACCGAGTGCCTTTGACACAGCGTGTCTCCTACCTGCCACTGTGTGGACCCCCCGCCTGGCCTCAGCCTCAGCCACTCGGTCGGCGGTCCCGGGCCCCTCCTGGGGCCGTGTAAATATGTACATTTCTCAGGCCGGGCGGCAGGGGGCCGCCCACGCCCATTTTTCACACGATGACTTGTACAATTATCTTTTCAAAGGTACTTGGATAATAATGAAATAAAACCGTTTTTGAACCTGGCTGTGGCGCACTGTCTGCTGCTGGTAAAGCCCCGGCCACGAAGGGGAGCCCACGGGCCTCCAGACCCCAGCCAGGACTCCGCCCGGGAGGGCCGGGCCCAGCCCCCATGAAAGAGGCCCATCTGTGGCCAAAGTGGGGCGGGGGCGGGGGCCGCGCCAGGCAGGCCTCGTGCAGGAACCAGACGCACAGAGCAGAGCAAAGTGTTTTATTCTCAGCTCTCTCCCCTGAGGGCAGCTACAGCTCCTCCTTGGGCCCCACAGTGGAGTTGGCTGGCGACTCCTGGAAGAGGTCACAGGCCGGCTCAGGCTCTGCCCTCGGCCACCCCTGCCCCAGCCAGCCCTGCTGACAAGCAGAGGGGACTTGTCCAGAGGCCTGGAACCCCGGGTCAGGGCACCCACCGGGGCGGGGGCTCCAGGCTCCTCCGTGGGCTCCGTGGGCAGTTCACCCCCGTGGTCGAGGAACTTGGACAAGGTCTCCAGGTCCCTGGGGCCTTTGTACTCAGTCACCTGCGGAGGGGCGAGAGGGCCTGGAGGACATACCCCTCCCTGCAGGTCCGGGGTCGGGACCCAGCCCCAGCCCAGGGAAGAGGGTCCTGGCTCCTGCCGAAGCCCCCCCACCCCTCCTCACCTTCCGGCCGGGCCCTGCCGGGAAGTACTTGAGAGTGGGGAAGCCGCGCACGGCCAGGCCCTCCAGCTCGTTGGCTGTGGCATCCAGCTCAGCAATGACAATGTCCTCGTGGTCCTTGTACTTCTCGGCCAGCGCCTCCCAGGCGGGGGCCATCTCCCTGCAGTGGGCGCACCACGGGGCATCTGGGACGGAGGCTGAGCATGGCCTGCGCGGCCCCCGCCCGCCGCCCCCGCACCACTCACAGAACTTGACAAACACGTTCTTGGTTTCGTCAAAAGCCACCTGCTCGAAATTCTTGCTCACGAGGGTCTTGACCGGCTGCTGGTCCCAGTCCGGGGGCACCTCCTGGCTCAGGAGATAGGGCTGGGGCCGAGCCGGGCGCCTCACTGAGGGCTCTGCATGGTGGCCCCGCCACGGCTCCCGCCCCGCCCCGCGGTGGGCAGTGAGGCTGCCCACCTGGACGTGGCCGCTGAGGACCACCTGGCAGAAGGCAGCCACGGACGCGGCGGTCACAGGCTCCCCGGCCGCAGGTGCGTACTTCCTGGCGGTCTCCACGTTGACCAGGCGCAGGGTGGGGGCCACCTCAGCCCTGAGGCCGAAGTACTGCAGCACGTGGCCGTTGTCTGCAGCGTCATCCACGTCCACGACCACGAACAGCACCTGCCAGGGGAGTCCAGGCTGGGGACCCCGCCACCCCACGGCCCCTGGCCCCCTGGCCCCACGGTACCTGCCCCCGGAACGGCGGAGCCGCCTCCTGGAAGCCCGCCAGGAGCTCCCTGTGCGGAGCCAGGGTCTGGTTGACAAACAGCAGCAGGTGGTTGAGGATCCTGGCAGCGAAGATCTTGGGGGACGTCTGCAGTGGGGGGGCTCATGACTCAGGGTACCCCCAGATCGTGGGGACGTCTGCAAAGGGTGCTCATGACTCTGTAAACATCCCCACGATCTGGGGGTGCCCTAAGCGGGCTCATGACTTGGCACCCCCAGATCTTAGGGATGTCTACAAAAGGGAATTCATTACTCGGCACCCCCAGATCTTAGGGATGTCTGCAGTGGGGGGGCTCATGACTCAGGGTACCCCCACCTTCAGGGCACCCCCAGATCTTAGGGATGTCTACAAAAGGGAGTTCATGACTCAGGGCACCCCCAGATCTTAGGGATGTCTGCAGTGGGGGGCTCATGACTCAGGGCACCCCCACCTTCAGGGCACCCCCAGATCTTAGGGATGTCTGCAGTGGGGGGGCTCATGACTCAGGGCAGCCCCACCAGGGGACCTGCCTGGCACCTGTGGCTGACGCACCTGGCTGTTGTACTCGGTGACCAGGCGCATGCTGTGCGTGACGAGAAATCGGGACAGGTCCGCCAGGTCCAGGCCGAGCTCCTTGTCCACGGGGAAGTCCGCCCTCCCCTCGTCAAACTGGACAGTGCCGGGCAGTCAGTGGGAGCCGCAGCCCCGAGCCCGACCCACCTTTTTTTTTTTTTTTTTTTGAGACAGTCTCGCTTTGTTGCCCAGGCTAGAGTGAGTGCCATGGTGTCAGCCTAGCTCACAGCAACCTCAATCTCCTGGGCTCAACGATCCTGCTGCCTCAGCCTCCCGAGTAGCTGGGACTACAGGCATGCGCCACCATGCCCGGCTAATTTTTTCTATACATATTAGTTGGCCAATTAATTTCTTTCTATTTATAGTAGAGACGGGGTCTCGCTCTTGCTCAGGCTGGTTTTGAACTCCTGACCTTGAGCGATCCGCCTACCTCGGCCTCCCAGAGTGCTAGGATTACAGGTGTGAGCCACCGCACCCAGCCCCGACCCACCTTCTTGAGGAGGACCACGGTGTCGCCAGTGAGATCAAACTTCTGAAAGAGCTGCGGCCGGTCAGTGAGGCCAAAGGTCATGTCCAGGGCATCCTGGGCCAGGGCCAAGAAGGTGGCCACGTCCCTGTCCTGCAGGTCCTGCAGGGCCCGGCCCTGTGAGGCTGGTGGCTGCCGTGGTTGCTGCCCCACGGCCCAGCCCCACCAGCCGGCTTACCTGGAAGAAGCCGATGACCACCACGTCCCAGGCACCCGCCAGCGCCCGGACGCCTGCCTCGTCTTCCAGCCGCGTGGCGCTGGGCCCCACCCGCCTCCTCAGCCACTCGGCGACGCCCTCCGCCTCCAGGGGGCCTGCGGAGAGCCGCCCTCAGCCTGGGCTCATCCCGGCTGGCCCCAACCCATGCCACGCCCGCGCTCACCTGTGTAGTCCTCCGGGTGCGTGCGGTTCCCGTCACGGAAGAACTTGAGCGTGGGGTACTCCGTCACCCCAAACTCCTCCATCAGCTCTGGCTCCGCCGTCCCATCCACCTTGGCCAGCGCAGCCGGGGTTGACGCGGCCGCCAGCAGGGCGGCCGCCTTGCGGTACTCGGGGGCGAGCGCCTTGCAGCGCGCACACCACGGGGCGTCTGGGGAACAAAGCCGTGAGTGCCCCAGGCCTGACCCCCTCCCTGCCCGCCCAGAACCCGCAGCACCTCCAAGCGGGGTGCAAGCGCTCTGCTTGCGCTCGCCGCTCCAGGGCCCCCCTAGCCTTGGCCCCCGCCAAGCCTGAGCACCAGAGGCTCCTTGAGACCCCTGGGGCTGGGGGCGCAGGGCCCAGCCAGATGTGAAGATCCCGAGAAGCCTCCTATCACTGCTTTCTGGGGCTCCCGGGCCACATGTGCCTGCCTGCCGTGGCCTGCCAAGTAAGAGACGTGGTTTTTATGTTTGCGAAGGGTTGTAAAAAGACCACAGAAGCGTAAATACACGTGTCCGAGCTGTCTGGGCCTTTACGGGGAGAGTTCGTAGGGCACCACCACTAGCCACCTGGAGACGTGGCCAACCGGCCGGCAGCAAGGTCAGCGTCCCGGCCACAGCTGGAAGAGCAGGGAGGTGCAGGCCCTCTGGGGTACGAGGGTCCATGCACTACTGACTGCCTGCTCAGACCAGACCCCGGCCCAGCTAAACCCCAGGGCTCCAGCTCAGCGCTGTCCAGGGCACTGGATGCCTGGGGGGGTGGGGGGGCAAGTGCCTGCAGGAGGCCCCTCCTGTGCCGGTGCCTCTGACACGGCGGGGTCCAGCCCAGTGGTCCCTGCGTCCCCAGCCCCACACACACTCACAGAACTCCACCAGCAGGGCGGGGTGGTCCTGCAGGGCCAGGCCCAGGCTGTGGCGGCTCAGGGCCAAGATCCCATCCTCCCTGGGCACCTTCTCCTCAGGGGGCTCCTCCAGGAGCTCCTCTGGGGAACCCTCAGGCCCCTGTCCCTGTCCCCAAGGGCTGGAGGCTCCAAGCAGCAGCAGCAGCAGCACAGGCAGGAGCTGGCTGTCCATGGCGCTGCGGGCCCAGCGGGGCAGGGGCAGATAAGGAGCCTGGAGGCCAAGCAGCAGCCGCCACGTGGCACCCAGGCCCGGCCACAGGGACGATAAGGCCCACAGCTCCCCCAGCCCCCACGGGAGCGGGAGGCAGAAAGAGGCGACACAAGGGCACTGAGACAGGGCGATGTTTAATGGGACTGTTCAGGGCAGCACCAGGCCCGGGGTGGGGGGCTCCCAGGACAGAGCAGGGGTGGGGGACGGGTCTGGTCACTCGCGAGGGGGCTGGGGGATGCTTGGGGGTCCCTGTGCAGCAACGGACGGACGGAGGGAGGGAGGAAGGGAAACAAGGACCCCGAGTGGCGGTGGGGTTCAGTCCTTCCACTCCTGGCAGATGTGCAGGCCCCACTCCCAGGACAGGTGGTCTGTCCTGTCGTCGTCCGTGAAGAGGGACGAGACGGTGTAGGGGCCTCGCACCAGCACGCCCCGCGGCGCCTCCTCCACCGGAGTCACAAACTCGTACTCCTGGGCGCTGGGGCCGAAACTGCCCACCATGTAGACAGCCTTGTCCACTGGTGGAGGGCACGGGTGTCAGGGGCCGCCCTCTGCCCCGCCAGCCCCCTCCACGGTGCCCCATGCCCCCCCACTCTGCCCTCACCTCGCAGGCCCCGGCGGTAGGTGTGGTGCAGACACCTGAGGCCGCTGACGATCTCCCTGTTGACCTGGGGGACAGAGGCGTTAGGGGGCCCCTAGGGGCTGGGCCCCGGGCGGGCCATGCCCCCCACCACAGCTGCCCTCACCTTGAAGGTGATCTTCACTTTGTAATCAACACCCTCCTTCAGGACAAACACCTGGTTTTTCAGCGCAGCCAGGTCCCCTGTTAGGGAAACGGCAGCTAAGGTCCGAAGTCCTGTCCCCAGAAGTCCCTATGTGGGCACCATGCCCATGAGGTCTGCAGGGACAGGCCCAGGGTGAGAGCACAAACGTGCACCTGTGAGGGCCCCACCTGGGCTCAGGTTGCACCTGGCGTCCTGGGAGTTACCTGTGAGGTCCATGGTGATGGGCGCTGGAGCCTGCTCAGACAGCAGCGTCAGCCTGCTCACCTGCACGTTGGGCAGGCTCGGGTCTGGGGAGACACTGAAAGTCTGCCGGATGCCCCACCCGGCCCCGCCCCGCCACCCCCGCCCCGGCCCTCTGAGCCCAGGCCCCGTCCATACCCACGGCGGGCGGCAGGGGCCCCAGCAGCACCCGCTTGTACTTGGCCAGGCTCTCATCCTCCGGGTCCAGCTGCCGGATCTCCAGCACGCTCTTCCTGCCTGGCGCCCGGTACTCCGGCACGGCCTCGTCCAGCACTTCATCCGGCTGCAGATGCCCCCCCTCCTTGTCGGTCAGGAGAACTGCGGGTCAAGGAGGGCGCGTGAGCAGCCGCCACCAGCTCGCCCTGGCATTGGAGCGCCCACCTGGCCACGGCACCTCCCGCTGCCCAAAGGAACCAAAGCAGGAGCCTGAGGTGGGCCACCGGTGCACCCCGATTTGAGGGGCCCTGGCAGCTGGAGACCGGGCCAGCCCTGCAGCGGCACCAGCTCCTGGCCCAGCTGTCCATCCAGGGCCCCTCCCTGACTCTGAGGCCAAAGGTGGGGGGAACAAAGACCCCAAATGGAGGACAGCTCCAAGGGCTGGGGGCTACTATCAAAGTGGTGACCCCCAGGGCCCTCCCTAGAGCAGAGATGCTGCCCTCCCAGTATTCTGGGGCTCCCCACATTCTGGGCTCTTCCCATAGTGCCCTAGGACACCTCCAGGTCCCCCACCATCCTGGTCTGGGATGGGGTCTCTCCAAACACTTTCCACAGTCCTAGGGGTCCCCCGCCCCCGCGGTGCGCCTGGAGCACGGGGTGGTTCTCCACACCCTGAGCTCATGTTCTGGGGCCACTTCCTCTGCCTCGGGGAGGGTCCCTCTGAGTCTTGGCCCCCTGTGCTCCCGTCTCCGCAGGGACCACCACCACATGCCCTGAGGAGCCCCAGCCCCACCCAGGAGTGGGGATCCAGGCCGCGGTCCCCAAGCGGAGCCACTGCCTCCCTGTGTCACAAACACACCCTTCCACTCTTGGCTCCCTTCCCACGAGGGTCGCGACTGGACGCAGTCCCCCCAACCCCGGGCGGGGTCTGCACCACGCGCGCCCCTAAAGTTGCCGCGGGGGAGGGGCCGGCGCGCACCGGGCAGAGACCCTGCCTGTCGAGACTCCCCCACCCGCGCCCACCGGCCGCTCACCTCGGGCGCACAGCGCCAGCCGGAGCAGCTCCAGCAGCTGCGCCCCCAGCTCGCACGCGTCCAGGCCCAGCATGGTGGCGCGCGGCGCGGCCCGGCCCGGCCCGCCGAGGAGCCGCCGCCCGCCCCGCCGCCGCCGCCCGGCTCGGCGCTCAGCCCCGGCGCGACTGCGGTGAGCTCATCCGAGCGCCCCCCGCGCCCAGCGCCGCGCCCGCGCCGCGCGCCCCCAGCCGCTCCGCGGACCCCGCGCAGCCCCGAAGAGACGCGCGTGTCGCCCGCACGGCGCACCCGGACCCCGCGCAGAGGCGCCCGGACGCGGACGCACGCGGCTGCGGTCACGATCCCGGCGCCCGCCCGCCCGCCGGCTCCGCGCGCCGGCCGTCAGGGCCGCCCCGCCCCCACGGCGCCGGCGGGAGTCGGGGGTTCTCCCGGGAAGCCCTCGCAGCCGCGCGGGGCTGGGGGCGCCGAGCGGAGCAGGTGCGCCCCCGCCCCCGCCGCGTCTCCAGCGTCTCCAGGCGGCCATTATCCGCAGCAGCGCAGGCCACACCTGGGCCCGCAGCCCTCCGCCCTCCCCGCGCCCCAGCAGCCTGTCTGGGAGGAGGGGACTCCTGGGGCAGCCCAGCCGGCGGGGGGAGCGGCGCCCCGCGCCCTGGAGGTCCGCAGTCACCAGCGGGGAGGACCCGCGCGAACACGAGTCCCACCCCCACATTCAGGTGCGGCCTGGAGACGCCCGCAGACATACAGGATCCCGCAAACGCTGACGGAGGCGGCAGACCCACGGGAGTGGCCCTTCCTGGGGGGGGGGTCTCTGCCCCGCCCTGGAGGCCCAATTACCAAGGCCCCTGTCCTTGGGGAGAGTCCGTTGCCACAACAGCACAGCAGCAATGGGGGGTTGTGCTAACGGGTCACAGTAGGAGCTTCGGATCCCAACACCTCAGCTGAGACCAGAGGTGGGTGGGGAGCGGGGTTGTCAGTGGGGGGTGGCAGGGCCTTAGGCTGGGGAACAGTTGGACCGAAGGCCTACCTCTGAGTAAGGGAGGTGGCAGAACACCAGCCTGAGCCATCTTTTCAGACACTCCCTGTCCCCCATCCCCATTTCTGGGGACACAGATCAGACCCACCTGTGTCCACACAGCATCTCTGAGCAGGAAACCACCTTGGGTGCTGGGGGCAGTGGGGTTGGGTTGGGACTGTCCCCCTTGGATTCCCCCATCTGCCCACAGCCTCTCCAAGGCAGGATCCTGCGAGCCGGGCCCAGGCTCCCCTAGACGCCCCCTTGGCTGTGCCTCCCCTGCAGGGACCGGGGTGTTGGCCACTGGTCTCCGGGCTGCAGATGGTGCCTCCCGTCCAGAGCGTAGCTTGACCCTGGAGCCGGCCTGGCCTACCACAAGGGAGATGGGATCCTGGCACGAGAGCTCCCCTCCAGCCAGGGCCCGACCTTGTCCCCGACCTGTCCTCTCCAGCAATGGAAACGGGCTAGTGTCTGGAGGCTCCTGGTGCAAGGCCCACCCCAACCCTGCCCAGCCCCCAGGACCCCGGGTGCAGCAGGGGAGGAGAGGTCCCTGTCTACAAGAAAGCAGAAACAGGCCTGTTGCAGCTACTCTTTTTGCTCCTGAGCTTGGTAGCGAAGGAATGAATAACTACTCAAAAACACACAGTGCTTAGAGAGAAGGGGAGAGGCCAAAATCTAAAGGAGAAAATGGTCCCCTCAGCTACGTTCCTCCCTGTATTTATTTCCAAGGACACGTGCAAAGGATCCGAGCCGTCTGCTAATTTCTTTAACAACTTCCACACAGGTCAGCTGTTTTCAGCTGAACTTTGCACTCAGCAAACAAGCAGCTCCGGGCAGGTGTTTTCGCCTGACCCTTCATTCACCTGCTCAGGTTCTTTCCATCCATCCATCCATCCATCCATCCATCCATCCATCCATCCATCCTTTCTTCCAGGCCCAGCCCCAGCAGGTCCCCTTGTGCATGTTTAAAATTAGAGACGGGGTGTGCGTAGGAAAAAGATGTAAGCTTCAGCCAGTGCCTCTTCATACTGGCATTGGGAGGTCATCAATTGGCGGATCCGTCCTGGAAAATAAGAGACACAAAGTGACAAGACCAAGCACGACAGGCTGATAATATAGACAATTCTGAGTGGTCATGGGAACGCACCGTGCTGTATGATGTAAGTCGGTAACACCCACAGGAGGATTAGAGGAACGATAAACTGCTGACTCTGTGCTATTAAGCCAGTCCGTTCTGCTTCTCTGCCAGGGACGTGGAGGCAATGTCCTTCCCCAGTCCATGCTGAGTCGTTGGTAGGCAGAAGATTCTCCAGTCCCCCCGTGTTAGGGGCTCAAACACAGGCGGGGTTAAGACATGAGCCCGGCAAACTGCGCCTGTGCTGCCCAGGAGAAAGAGAAGGAGAAAAAGGCTGCAACGCAGCCGGCGGGCACCCGACTGCCGTTAGGACAATGCTGTCTTCCTGCACATGAGTGCTGTCCTAGAACTTCTGGTTCGACAGGACACCGGGCAGCTTCTAAGGGGTGTTGCAAAGCGCGCAGATGATAGATCTGCTGACCTTGTGTCAGGTGCGGTCCCGAGTTAGAACTCCCCTTCTGAAACTACACGCCTGGGTCCCTTTCCCAAAGCGGCGGCGGGCTGTCCCTTACCAGGTGATTCCCCTTGTAGTCTGGACGACAGAAACGCTCACCGGACGCGTGAATTCCTGAGGCATGTCTGGGTCACCACTTGTCGAGGCTGCTCTTTGGCTCCTGAGCTCGGTAGCGAAGGAACGAATGAGTACTCAGAGCACATGGTGCTTAGAGAGAAGAGGGAACCTAAAGGAGAAAGAAAGTGGCCTCCTCAGCTACATTCCTCCCGTATTTATTTCCAAGGACACATGCAAAGGGTCAGCGCCGCTTGTTAATTTCTTTAACAACTTCCACACAGGTCAGCTGTTTTCAGCTGGACTTTGCACTCAGCAAACAAGCAGCTCCGGGCAGGTGTTTTCGCCTGACCCTTCATTCACCTGCTCAGGTTCTTTCCATCCATCCTTTCTTCTAGGCCCAGCCCCTACACAGGCCTGTTTGCACCTTTTTTTTTTTTTTTTTTTTTGAGACAGCGTCTCCATTGGCCGAGCTAGAGTGCCGTGGCATCAGCCTAGCTCACAGCAACTTCAAACTCCTGGGCTCAAGCCATCCTCCTGCCTCAGCCTCCCGAGTAGCTGGGACTACAGGCATGCGCCACCATGACCAGATAAATTTTTTTTAATTATTAAAAATGTTATAACATATTTTTTCTATTTAGGAGAAATCAAAATTATGGTTCCAGCTAATTTGTTCTATGTATTTTTAGTTGTCCAATTAATTTCTTTCTATTTTTAGTGGAGACAGGTTCTTGCTCTTGCACAGTCAGGCTGATTTCGAACTCCTGACCTTGAGCGATCCACCTGCCTCAGCCTCCCAGAGTGCTAGGATTACAGGCATGATGCACCCTTTAAAAATAGGTCAATGAGCCGGGCACGGTGGCTCACGCCTGTAATCCTAGCACTCTGGGAGGCCGAGGCGGGCGGATCGCTCAAGGTCAGGAGTTTGAAACCAGCCTGAGCAAGAGCAAGACCCCATCTCTACTATAAATAGAAAGAAATTAATTGGCCAACTAATATATATATAAAAAAAAAATTAGCTGGGCATGGTGGCGCATGCCTGTAGTCCCAGCTACTCGGGAGGCTGAGGCAGAAGGATTGCTTGAGCCCAGGAGTTTGAGGTTGCTGTGAATTGGGCTTATGCCACGGCACTCACTCTAGCCTGGGGAACAAAAAAAAAAAAATAGGTCAATGGTCCTGCCCAGTGGAGCCTGAAGGGCCCAGGCCTAGCTCAGGAGGTCTGGGGTAGGTGTGGACAAGCTGCTGGAGGCTGGGAGTGGGGCCCTGAGACCGTGGCCCCTGGTGACACTGGGTGGAGAGGGCACTGAGATCCCTCCCCCGGCAACAAAATGCCTCCCCCCAGTTCCAGAGTCCCCTGGGCAGGGTCTCTTCCCATTCCCCAAGTGCCCACCAGGCCCCTGGCAACTGAGCCATCTGCCATGCTCCCCTCCTCCCCACCTGGAAGGACCCCGCTCAGGGACCCACAGCAGGGGACGGGGAGACACAAGCCAACACATGCAGCCACCAGCCCATGTGTGAACACCAGCAGACCAGCCTGGCACCCCAAGACCCGCACCTCGGTGGTGCGTGGTACCGAGCCAGCGCAGGCACCTGCTCGCAGGGTGGTCACACCCTCCCACAGCCCGTGGGCCGCTGGGCCCTGCACAGCCTCAGGACCCCACACGTGGGACAGGGCTGCAGGGGACCCCAGAGCCCTGCTCCTCAGGCTGACCCCATCCTTTCTCCTGCATCCTCCTCCACTGAGGCACTGCCCCTGTCTGAACCCCCACCCTCTCCCGGAGTCCTCACCCCTCGATGAGCGGAATGAACCCCTCCCCACATCTTCACCCTGTCCCCAAATCCCCCCTTTCCATCGGGGTCCAAGCCCCGCCCGGGCGGGACATCTCCGGGCCCACTTGGCCCCTACGCACCCCCCACGCGGCCCTGGCGCGTCCCCGCCTGCAGGAGCCTGTTTCTGGAACGCTGGGGGACATTCTCGGGTCGCGCGCCGGGTGCCAACCCCTTTGCTTCGGGCCTGGGCCGTGGCGGGGCTCTCAGCCCCGCAGTGGGACGGGGAGACGGGACTCCGCAGGCCGGGGTGCGGAGGGTTAACTCGGGCCAACTCGGGCGCAGGGCCGGGCGGGGTGGGAGCCCCGCGGGGTGGGGCGGGGCAGCCTCGGACACCGCCGGCCTCGCCCGCAGCCATGGCCACGGGCCCCGCACCCTCGGGCGGGCGCCCCCGCGAGCAGAGGCCGCATCTGAGCAAGGTGGGGGGCGCGGGGCCCGGGGTCCGGGCCTGGAGGGCGGGGGAGGAGCGGGTGGGGGCCGGTGGGAACGCGCGGTGCCCGGCCTGGGGCTGCGCTTGGTGCAGCCGGCGGTTCCCCTCTGGCCTGCGCCCGCCGCGCCTCTGCCGCCAGCTGTCGCCCGCGCTAATCTGGCCTGAGCGCGCTGACCCGGCTTCCCGCCGGCTTGGGAATAGGGACCCGGGACCTGGGGGTGGCGGGACAAGCCCCTCACCACGGCCCCCTCCGCCCAGATGGAGCGGGTGGTCGTGAGCATGCAGGACCCCGACCAGGGCGTGAAGATGCGGAGCCAGCGCCTGCTCATCACCGTCGTCCCCCACGCGGTGGCGGGTGAGCCGCGGAGGCCAGGCGCGGGCTGGGCGGGGCGGTGCGTGCCTGGGCCTCGCTCCACCGCAGTCTCCTGCGCAGGCGGCGACGTCGTGGAGTGGCTGATCCAGAAGTTCTGCATCCCGCAGGAGGGTGAGGGCTCAGCCGGCCGGCCTGCCTTCCTGCTGGGGTCTCCAGCTGGTGGCTGGGTCTTCTCGGGGTCCCGGGCGTCAGAGCCCTGCAGAGCGTGCTGGGGTTAGAGGAGCTCACGCTCGGGTTCCCCCAGCTGACACTCAGCGCCCGCCCCTCCCAGAGGCCCTGCACCTGGGCACGCTTCTGGTACAGCATGGCTACCTGTACCCGCTGCGGGACCCTGGCATCCTGGTGCTCCGGCCCGACGAGACACCCTACAGGTTCCAGGTCAGGCTCGGCTGGGAGCAGGCGGGACCCCAGCTACCGACCCAGAAGGCCAACCAGTGGAGACGCCAGGGAGGGGCGTGGAGCTTGCTGGGATTGGAGGGGGATATGGTGATGGCACCGTGGGCTGGGGGTCTCCTGCCCCTTCCCCAAAAGGCCTGGACTGGAAGTATCCATGTGCTGAGAAGGACTAGGTTAGGGGGCCAAGCATCAGTTTTCCTGGGGCCACAGCAAGGGACCCCATTAGAGATGTGCCTGTGGAAGATTCTGCTGGCTTCCCGAGGGACCTAGACCCTCACCCTGAAGAAGGAAGCTGTGGGGCGTGAGGACGGGAGCCCTGCACCTCATGGACTCAAATGTGATGGAGACCCGTCCCACCTCCCCGACCACATCGGGGACCCAGGCCCAGCCTGCCATCAGTGGTGTCCCCACCCCAAGCACAGACTGAGACTGCCCCCACCCCACCCTAAAAGGAGGGCTCAGGCAACCACAGACGGGAAGGCTGCCCCTGCCTAGGGCTCCAAGGGACAGTTGAGCTCAGTTCCAGGGGGGCTGAATGGCCAATGGTCAGCAGGGCCTCTGGGCGGTGTGCAGACAGGGAGGTCCTCAGAGACCTTCTGTGAAGCCCGGTCTCCTTCCAAGGGAGTTGTGAGGGTGGGCCGACACTGGGGTGGTCCCGGACTCCCTTCTCCCTGCACCGCACCAGACCCCGTACTTCTGGACGAGCACCCTGTGGCCAGCCGCCGAGATGGACTATGGTGAGTGGGGGGGGATGGGCTAGCCTGAGGACAACTCCCAGGATGGTGGACCCAAGGATGACGCCACGGGGGGGGGGGGGTAGGAGCAGAGCTGCCCTCTGCAGCCCGTACCGTCTTTCCAGCCATCTACCTGGCCAAGAAGAACATGCGGAAGCACGGGGCCCTGCTGGACCATGAGAAGGTGGGACCCCGCCCAGGCTGCGTCCAGCTGGGAGAGTCCAGGGTCCCGTGTTCGCCCCAGAACACAGGCCCCGAGATAACCCCCAACACCCACACACACACCCCCTGCACGGTCTCCTTGGAGTAGTGAGTGGGTTCCACGCCCCCGCGTGGGCACGGGAGGGGATTACCCACCGAGGCCTCACTGCCCCCAGGAGCGCTATGTCCAGCTACACAAGAGGATCAACCACGCGTGGGACCTGGTGCTGATGCAGGCCAGAGAGCAGCTGCGGTGAGACCTTGCTGCCTGCCCGCGCGGCACCAACCCAGCCTGTTCCGGGAGCTGTGGGACCTGGATGGCACTGCCCGGGGGTGGCTGCCCACCCAGGCCCAGGGCTGAGGGTGGGGGGAGGCACTGCAGTGGCTCAGTGTACCCCCAACTCCGCCTACTCCTCCCAGGGCAGCTAAGCGGCGCAGGAAGGGGGACAGGCTGGTCATTGCGTGCCAGGAGCAGACGTTCTGGCTGGTGAACAGGCCCCCGGTGAGCCCTTGCTGGGGAGCGGGGGCATCATGCTTCCCTGGAAACCTCCGGCAGGGCCTCCGTTTTGAGGCTGTGGAGGGACTCACCTTCCAGGTTCTCCTGGTTTACCCAGAGATCTGCAGGCCAGGGCTGAGGCTGCCCCACCCCCAGACCACAGGACATACCCGTGTCTATTTCAGTCTGAGCGGCACCGAAGACCCTCAGGAGGAGGCAGAGTGCGGGCTGGCCTCAGCTACAGCATGGGGGACTGAGGTCATAGCCCAGGAGTTTTTGGGGTGCTCGCTTGGTGTCAGGCCTTACCCAAAACTGTGGTCCTGGCAGGTGGCTTGAGGTCCCACTACCATCTGGGGCCGTGGAGAGACCAAGTGGACAGGCCACTGCAGGGGTGTGGGGGGGCATGAGCAGAGAGGAGACAGGGCTTGGGGCTGGGTCGGGGCTCTGGTCCTGAGCTCCCTTGAGCATGTCCACATTGTAGGGTGAAGCGCTTCAGCTTCTGGGGGTCTGTGGAGGTGGAACTTAACCCTAGGGTGGGGTCTCAGGAGGCCCCCAGAGCTGTGCCCCCACCTCTCCTCTCCCCTCTGCAGCCTGGGGCCCCCAACGTGCTGGAGCAGGGTCCAGAGCGGGGCTGCTGCACCGCCAGCCCAGTGCAGATGGTGAGCCCACCCCACTGTGCCGTGGGACTGCCTGGGGGCGGGGGCTGCCCGTCCATGCATCTGACCGTGCGTCCTCCAGACCACCCAAGTGACACACGATGCAGCTGTTCCTGGTCACCCTGCCCTCGCCCTCCCCAACCCCAGTGGCCTGCTAGCTCACCTTCTCCCCCTGCCACCTGCTGCCCTTGGTACGCTAAGTGGAGTGGGCAGGGAGGGAGGGGCTCTTCCCCCAGGCTGGGACAACATCAGGGCTCACAGGGACTTGGAGGGGTGATCGGCAGGGTACAGGCCTGAGGGACCTGGGCTGAACCAGCCTCCTGGGGCTCTGGTGGCTGGAGGGAACCAGACCAGGACAGACACATCCCCAAGTCGTGGCAGCAAAGCCCCTTGTTCAAATCAAACCCCACCAAACCCACAGCCTAGAACAGACAAACTTCTTCCTGAGTTCAAAACCCCGAATGGAGTCGGTCAAAGAGGGCTGGGGCAAATGTTGGGACTCACACGTGTCTTGACCACGTGGCGGGTCCCCTGCCTCTGGCTCTGGGCCCGTGTGGGGAACATGGGTCACGGCTCCTGAGTCTGAGTTAGACCTGGTTCCCCAGCATCAGCCCATTAGGAGTGCTTTTCGTGTGTATGTTGTTTAAAAGATGATTTAAATGCATTTGAAAATATGACATATTAATCACAGTTGGGGGACTTCAAGGCAACTGTGAGAAGCTGGGGGTTCTGTGGAATATTCCAGAAATCTCTGGACTACAGGCCCCCAGAGGTCTCCTGGAAAGTCAAAGCCCCCTCCCCCATTGGAAGAGGGGCTCTGAGGGCAGGGCTGGGGCCTGAGCTGTTCTCTGCGGCATCCTGCTGGGGCAGGGTGTCAGGTCACAGGCCTGCAATCTAACACAGTCACCTGTCCCTTCTAGACCAAGAGCTTGGATTTCTACAAGCGGGAGGTAGGTCCAGGGATGGGTGGGGGTTTGGCCTCCAGCCCCCAGGCCAGGACTGGGCGAATGAGTCTCTCGTCTTAGATCGAGCGCTACAGGAAGGCCCTGGGCAGGGCCCGGGTGAAGTCTTCTGTCTGCCTTGAGGCGTGAGTCGGTGGGGGGCATCTGGAGACCCCCGGCCCACAGCCCAGACCCTTTCTCCCATGCCCTGTCCCTGAGGCCCCGTCCTGCCCAGCCCCGGCACCGTCCCCTCCAGGTACCTGCAGTACAGCGTCCAGCACCGGCTGCACGACCCCATCCTGTCGGGGTGCCTGCCCGGCAACCCCTGGATCACAGACAACGCCGCCTACTGGGCCGTGAACTCGCCCACGTGAGCCCGGGGCACGGTGGGCGGGACCTGTGTGCTCCCATCCTGGGCTGGCGCGGGGTCAGCCCAGCCACCCCAACACCCCCTTCCCCCAGGGCGGCTGCGCCCACCAAGCTCCGCGTGGAGCGCTGGGCCTTCAGCTTCCAGGAGCTGCTGGAGGACCCCCTGGGGCGGGCGCACTTCATGGACTTTCTCGGGAAGGAGTTCAGTGGTGAGAAGCACCCCGCCCTCCCGCCCTGGGCCCGAGGGGTCCCCCAGGTTTCTGCCCGCCCCGAGGAGTCCCCTCCTGGCTCCTGACCAGTCCCGCATCGCCCAGCCGAAAACCTGAGCTTCTGGGAGGCGTGCGAGGAGCTGCGCTACGGAGGGCAGGCCCAGGTCCCCGCCCTGGCAGACGCCGCGTACCAGTGAGTGTCGCCGGGCGGGTGCGGGCCGGCTGCTGGGCAGACACGCCCGCCTGGATGACCTGCCCGTCCCCACACCCAGGCAGTTCCTGGCTCCCGGCGCTGCCCGCTGGGTCAACATTGACAGCCGGACGATGGAGCGGACCCTGGAAGGGCTGCGCCAGCCCCACCGCTACGTGCTGGACGACGCGCAGCTGCACATATACATGCTCATGAAGAAGGTGGGCCCTGGGCCAGCCTGGAGGGCGCGGGGTGGGGGCGCCCCAGCTGGGCCTCGGGTCCGCACGCTCCAGCCTGCCACCCTGCCCGTGGGAGCCCCTCCCCTGGGGCCCGGCTGGCCCGGGGCCCCGGGGCCTTGGCCGCACGGAGCCCGCTGCTCTCCTGAGGTGGTTTCGTCCTGCTCACTCCGCCCACAGACAGCAGACAGGCTAGGAGGGGCTGAAGGACCTGCCCAGCTCACATGCTTAGCAAGGGTCCAGCTTTGACTTGGAAAAGTATTTTAACATAGAAATTTCCAAGTATGAACAAAAATAAATTAAAATGCATCCCTCTGTACCCATGGCCTAGCTGCAAAAATTGTCACCTTAGGGCCTATCCTGACAGGTCTACCCACCCCCTCCCACCCTGCCCTTGTTACCCGAAAGCCACTTTCAGACCTCCTACCTATATTTTAGCATATATATACACACTTCTCCATAGCATATGGACACCTCCCGTTTCAAAACTGACTGTAAATGCCAACATGACACTGTAAACAAATAGCACTTACTTAATGCTCCCGAATACCTAATCAGGGTTCTCACCTCCTCCCTCGGCCCATGTGCTGGTTTCCTGTGGCTGCTGTGAGAAACTGTTGCCCGGACTAGAGTGCCGTGGCATCAGCCTGGCTCACAGCAACCTCAAACTCCTGGGCTCAAGCGATCCTCCTGCCTCAGCCTCCCGAGTAGCTGGGACTACAGGCATGCGCCACCATGCCGGCTAGTTTTTTGTATATATTTTTAGTTGGCCAATTCATTTCTTTCTATTTTCAGTGGAGACTGAACTCTTGACCTTGAGTGATCTGCCTGCCTCGGCCTCCCAGAATGCTGGGAATACAGGCGTGAGCCGCCTCGCCCGGCCATCAGGGTCACGTCTTACAGCCCCAGAGGTCAGAAGTCTGACCCGGGTCTCCCTGGGCTGTCAGGTGTCTGCAGGGAAACCACTTCCTGTGTCTCCCAGCCTGGCCCTCAGCTCTGTCCTGTCCTGCCCAGAGCCAGCAAGGCAGCACCTTCCCATCCCTCTGGCCTCCCCCCTTTCACTTACAAAAGCAGCTGCGATGATGCTGCGCCCACCCGGATAATCCGGGATCATCTCCTGCCTCAAGATCCTAAATATAATCACAGCTGCAAAACCCCTTTACCAGCAAGGGGCTCACTCTCAGGTTGAGGATTAGGTGTGGGCATCCCAGGGGGGCAGAGGGATTATCCTGCATTCCACAGCCTAAGGTTATTTCTTTCTCTTTTTTCAATTTGCTTGAATTTGAATCCTAATTTTGTTAGAATTGGTCAATAAGTCTCTTAAATCTCTTTTTATTTTATTTATTTATTTGGGACAGAGTCTCACTCTGTTGCCCGGGGTAGAGTGCCGTGGCGTCAGCCTAGCTCACAGCAACCTCCAACTCCTGGGCTCAAGCAATCCTCCTGCCTCAGCCTCCCAAGTAGCTGGGACTACAGGCATGCGCCACCATGCCCGGCTAATTTTTTCTGCATATTTTTAGTTGGCCAATTAATTTCTTTCTATTTTTAGTGGAGACGGGGTCTCGCTCTTGCTCAGGCTGCTTTCGAACTCCTGACCTCGAGTGATCTGGCCCGCCTCGGCCTCCCAGAGTGCTAGGATTATAGGCGTGAGCCACTGCGCCTGGCCTTTGAATCTCTTTGTTTTGGAGGCCCGTGATCCTTTGTCCAGCCTGTTTCTCGCAGCCTGGCTCCTGCTGGCCACATCCCTGTGGCTTCGTTGACTGTCTCTCTGTCCTGTCTTTCTATAAAGTGCCAGTTACATTTAAGGCTCGTTCAGATTCATCTCCAGGTTTTTGTTATTAGTTTACCTGGTTTTTGCTGAGGTGGTGTTTGGTGTCTTCCGTCAGGGTACACGAGGTGCCGCTGCCTCTTTTTGTGGTGCAGGCAGCCGCTGCGCTGCTTTCACCAGAGACTGTGACGTGGTCCTGTTCTAGTTCCATCCCGGCCTCTTTATTAGTGGGAGGCTTCTATGAGACGCCTCCCTCACTGCTCTTGGGTGTCAACTGGTGCAGATTGCCAGAGAAAGGCAGGTGCTTGACCCCTCCCTTTATTTACCACCTTTAAAAATAAAGAATTGGGGCTGGGTGTGGTGGCTCACACCTGTAATCCTAGCACTCTGGGAGGCTGAGGTGGGCAGATTGTTTGAGCTCAGGAGTTCGAGACTAGCCTGAGCAAGAGTGAGACCCCTGTCTCTAGTAACAATATAAGGAAATTATCTGGGCATGGTGGCGCATGCCCGTAGTCCCAGCTGCTTGGGAGGCTGAGGCAGGAAGATCGCTTGAGCCCAGGAGTTTGAGGTTGCTGTGAGCTAGGCTGACGCCATGGCACTCTAGCCTGGGCAACATAGTGAGACTCTGTCTCAAAAATAAATAAAAATAATGAATTGGAGTCAGGCATGGAGGCTCATGCCTGTAACCCCAGGATTCTGGGAGGCTGAGGCAGGAAAATCACTTGAGCCCATGAATTTGAGTCCAGCCTGGGCAATACAGCAAGACCCTCTTCTCTAAAAACAAAAAATATCTATCAAAAAATGAGTTGGACCCCTAGTATCTGCCAAGCATAGTCAGTGAGGTTTGGATGTTTTTAACACCATCATAAAATCACAGATGTCACCGCATCTGATGTTTCAATCCCCAAGTTCAGTCATGCTTGGGTGGTAAGCACACGGCCCCACAGTGGCCCTCTGGCTCCCAGTCACCTGATGTGTCCCTGGCCACGGCGGTGGCTCCCCTGCTCTCCCTCATCCCCGGCTTGTCCTGCCCACGCCTGGAGTCAGCGTTTCCACGGGAACCCTGGCCCTTTCCAAGGGTGGTGTTTAGAAAGCGCAGCCTGCGATCCTGTGCTCCTTGCTCCTGGGGACAGAACTGGGAAATATGCGTCTTAAACAGAAACCAGGAGCTCGTACTGGTAGTTCACTCAGGACCCCAGGTTTTCCTCAGATATCACCTTGAGCAGCTCTGCTGCGTATGCTTAGGGTTACTCTGCCACCTGGGGACGTGGCTGGTGTCACTTGTCCCCCTTTACTTGCAATGTTTGGGAATTGCTTTTTTATTTTATAATTATATGAAATATACACTCAGTTCCAAACTCAGTGCTGCAGAGCAAGGTCCATTGAAGTGACTCTAGCTCATGTCCCTGCCCCTCCCCTTATTCCCTCCTTCCCACCAAAGTGAACAATTTAAAATGTATTTTTCCTTAAAAATATAAGCAATTACAGTCGTAGATTCCTTTCCTTTTCATTTAGTCCTGTGCAGTTTCCCTGCACCCCACTGTTTCCTCCATGCCCTGCCCTCGCGCTGTAGGAGGCTGCTCAGGGGCCCTCGCTGGAAGTGGCACAAGGGCCCCGCCCAGCTTCTGCTGTGAAGGGCCCAGGTGTCCCCGAGTCTGACAGTCGGCAGGCCTGGGTGCCTGTCCCCAGCACTGTGCACTGGGACTGGGTTCGAGACACTGTGCACCTCGCTGGGGAGCTGGCTGAGAGGAGAAGAGGGGCCGGGTCAGAGCAGGACACCGTGTCTTGCAGGACTCCTACCCGAGGTTCCTGAAGTCTGACTTGTACAAGGGCCTGCTGGCGGAGGCGGGGATCCCACTGGAGATGAAGAGACGGTGAGGCCACGCAGTGCCCTGAGCCGCCTGCCGCAGCCCCAGAGGCAGCTGAGGCCCGTGTGAGGTGGGCAGGACTTTGCCGGCCTCCTGCCAACAGCCCCCTTCTCGCCCACAGGGTGTTCCCGTTCCCACGGAAGCCGTGGCACTCAAGCCCCAGCCCCGCTGTCCTTCCTACTTCTGGGGAGCCCATGGTGGCTGGCGGCCCTGGGGATGGTGACAAGGTGGCCTAGGTGGACCTGGCCCCCGTCGTCCTCACCTCCTGCTTCCTCCCAGGCCCTCCTGCCCAGCACCCTGCCGACTGCGCAGTCACCCTCCTCCTGGCCCAGGGTCCTGGCAGCTGCTGCCTCTCCCGTACAGGTGTCCCTGTGGCAGATGTGGGGCACACAAGCCTCTCTCTAGCTTCCTTCTCCTTTTCCCCTGGGCAAGTCCTCTTCCGCCAGGGGGACTGGTCCCGTGCTGATTCCCAGGGAGGGGGCTGCACTGGCCACGCTTGGGTTGGGGCAGGCCATTACCTGAAGAAAGGTGAGACCAGGGCCACGAGTTCCTGGCATGCTGTGGTCTTCGATTCGGCACTGGGTGCCCATCCCCATCTCTAGAACCGTCGCATCAGCCGGTGAATACCTGGAAGCAATACGCACAGACACGTGGCTTCCCTCAGGTGGCACTTGCCAGGTGATGAGGAGATGCAGGTCTCAGGGCAGACCCTGCCTGCCCTGTCTAGGAGCAGCCCTGCTGTGAGGACCCAGTGAGGACCCTGGACAGCTCCCTCGGCTCTGCGGGGGCCGTGGTGACCCTGCATCATGCTCACTGCCTTCCAGAGCTGCGCCCGCACCACCCTTGCCTGGACTGGGACCACATGTGTTCCGGAACTTGATTTTCCACCTCGAGGCTGTGGTTTCTGCCCCAGATTTGTACAGATGACTCTGACATCATCACTCCACTGACAATGAGGCCTCTCTTCCCGTCAGGGCAGATCTTGGCAGGTGTCCTCCCTGCCAAGCCTTTCTCTGTGCACCACGTTACTCCCCACCCCCAAGTGTCCCACCGTCCCCCAGGCTGCATGAAGGCACAGGCCAGCTCCTTTGGGGGCGCAGCTCTGCCTGGCCCAGCTCGGAGTGCCACCCTAGCCACAGGGCTTGCCCACACGTCAAGCTCCCAGCCCCTTCCAGCAAAAAACTAAAAGACCCTTTGGTCCTCACTTTGAGCCCGTCCTGCTGTCAGTGCAGCTCATGACGAGTGTGTGCACATAGGATGCACGTGTGCGTGTAGTGCATGTGCATGGCCTATGCGTATGTAGCATGCATGTGGTGTATGAGGCATGCATGTGGTTTGTGCGAGGCATGCATTGTGTAGCGTGTGCATGTGTGTAGGGTATGCATGTGAGGTGTGTACATGTGTGGTATCTGTGTGAGGAATGCATATGCCATGCCTGCATAGAATGCATGTGTGTGTAGTATGAGGCATGTATGTGTGAATGCACATGTACATAGGATGTGTGCACATGTCTCCCATTGCAGACATGCGTGTGTAGTGTGCATGTGAGGCATTCATACGTGTTAAGAGGCATGCATGTATGTAATGTGCACATATGAGGTGTGCGTGCGTGTGGTGAGGGAGGTGGTGAAGGTCACTAGGGGCTCAGGTGTAAACAGCAGCACCTATGGAGGGTCCCAAGCATGTGGGTTGAGGGAGGAGAAGGGACCAACCCTCTCAGGCCTTGGGCTGAGGAATTTGGGGAGTCTGGTCTTTAGGAGGAGACGGCTGGGGGCACCATCTGCACCCTGGTGGGCTGAGGTGCACCAGGTAGCATGAGGGTGCCAGCCCTCCAGGGGGGAAGACTGAGGAAATCGAGTCCAGGGAGCCTGTGGGGAGGAGGGGCTCCTGGCATGGAAATGGCAGTTGTGCCCAACCTGCCCGGAAGTCCTCCAGGACCCCCAGAGTCCCCTCCTGTGCAGGGGTGCAGACTCTTACCACCCAAGTGGTAGACCTTCCCCTCTCCCCCATGGTTTCTTGTTTTTCACTCACAGGGCTTGGCCTGTAGCCCTATGGCTCCTTCATGCTCAAGGCTGGGAGGGCCGGGTTACCTTTCTCAGGGACAAGGGACCACACTTCTTGGCACGAGGGCTCCCACCTGTTCAAACTCTGGCCCCCAAGTCCCCTTCCCAAGCCTTGGCAAGGAGAAACAGGAACAAAGTTACACCTGTGCAGCTACGAAACCGGAAACTCCCGCAGGGTTCTCAGAAGCAGCTGCCTCTTCACTTCCATACCCAGAGCCCAATCTCCTGGGCTCGCCGCAGGCTCCTCCCACCTGGTGGCCACCAGAGCTCACCTCCACCCTCGCTTCCTGCCACCTTCAGCCAGCCCAGAGGGTGCGGAGATGCGAGGCCACCGCTGTCCACGGGGCTGGGTGCGGCTTGTGGAGCAGACACCCCTGGAGGCTGTGCTGAAGCCTGCAGGGCCCCCCGATTCTAGGGGGCAGGTCTGGGGGGGTGACCCTCCTCGGCCGTCCTTCCCACGCTGACCAGGAGAGGCAGCATGCTGCTGGTCACCCAGCCAGGAACAAACCCATCCCACTCCTTGGGGAGCAGAGAGACAGGCAGACAGACACCAGCTCACACCCGACCACTGGGCTCTTTCAGACAGTGCAAAAATGTTTATTCTGGTTTCTTCCATGGTGACTGGAGTCATTAGGCTGCTTTGGCTACAAGTCTTGGGCTCTGTTGTCTGGGCAGGGCCCATAGCCGCCCTTGGCCTCGGGAGCAACAAGGCACAGAGGTGAGTCCTGGGCCAGGGACAGACTGGTGGGAGTGAGAGCACCGAGGGGCGGCAGGAGGCACCAGGTGCTTCCCACGCCCAGGGCACAGGGCCCTCGAGGGACAAGCAGCTCCAGTGTGCACCGACCTACGCGTGCATTCCACGGCCAGCTCCCCGGACAGTCACAGCACACATAGCAGCACGAGGGCGGTAAAACCCCCACGGGCACCTGCGAGCAGCCGCTGGCCCCAGTGCCCCACCTTCCCGGAGCCTGTAGGCCGAGTCGAAGGGCCCAAGTCACCCGCCATGCTAGAGGGTTCCCTCCTCGCTCTGGGAAGGGCCAGGGCTGCCTCAGGTCCCAGCCGCTGCCCTGAGGCCTCCCCCAGGGCCCCTACCCTCGGAGCGCCTGGGGGACAGTGCACAGAAAGAATCACACAAGAAGGTAGGGAGGGACTTCTGCAGGAAGTGTGGGCAGCGCATCCTCAGGGAGACCCCGGGCCCTTCCAGTGATCTCGGCCTCTCCGGCCTGGGGAGAAGCTGGCGGGGTGAGGGCGCCACGTGAGGATGGGGTGCCCTGGGGCCAAGCCCCGCCAGAGGTGGCCCGGGGAGGCCACCACAAAGGCAGCTTGGCCACAAGCAAGACCCCAGTGGGGCGCAGCACAAGCCCCGAGCGAGGACTCAGGGACACGGAGCGCTGGGCAGCAGGGCAGGCCTGGGCGTCCCTCACCCACAGTCAAGTACGGAGACCAGGAAGGCCAATGACGTCTGGGCTCAGTAGCTGGAGTCGCCCCTGCAGGGTGCGGCTGGCACGCCCGCCTCTCACACCTCGCTCCGGTAGCGCAGCCGGGAGAACCGGTCCCTGATGGCCTGGTCACTGTCCGGCCCGGCTGCCCCCAGGCGCACCACCCTACTGCTCGGGACGAGGTCCCGCACCTTGTGCTTGATCACGGAGACCAGGCCAGGCTCGTCCGAGCTCATCGGGCCCGTCAGGAGGACGTAGGCAGCATGGCGGCTTGGCTCAAACAGGACCACTGCAGGCACAGAGCTGTTAGGGCCACCAAAGGACCTAGTGGTGGGGACACCCCAGCCCCGCACAAGGCCACACTCACCGTCAGAAGCGACGATGTTGGCAGAGATGTTGGCCAGCTCCAGCAGCACACGGGGCAGGGTGGGGTGGAACATGTACAGGCTGTGCCCGGCGGGTCTGGTCTCCTGCAGCGAGAACCAGCAGTGGCTTCTGCCGTCCTGGGCAGCACTCAGGTCACCACCACAGGGTGCTGTGGTCGCAGTGGCCACGCCCGAGCTCTGCACCCACCTCCATCCCTCCCTCCCCCAACCTGACCTGACCCTGCCAGGGCACTGCCCCTCCCCCCACGGGGCCGCCGAGTCCACTCTCGGGACACCCAAGACACTTCCTCTGGCACCCCATTGTGATGGGTCTCGAGTGACTTCGATTTGTCTGTGGCCACCCAGTCACCCGGTAGCTTCCGGGCACTTCCAGTGGGACCCAGGCCTGGCATCTCCAGCCCTGGCTGCTCCAAGGTGCCCCGTACCGTCTGGTTGGCACTGCCCAGCTCGTGGAGGCCCCAGAAGAAGAACGCGGAGCGGTGGTCCGCGGTTGGCAGACTGGAGGAGGGAGGGCCGCCAGGCAGGCTGGGGAGGGTGAGGCTCCATAGGATGGCCCTGGTGCTGAGGTCCAGGAGCAGGATCTGGGGGAGCGACATGCAGGGGACATCAGGGCTGCACAGGCACAGGCTTGCCCGCCACGCAGCCCTGAAGGCAGCTGCTTCCTGAGGGCAGCCGGAGCCTACGCAGTCCCCTGGGCCACAGCCCTGCTCTCAGACCAGGCCACCCCCAGCTAGGGACAAAGGTGGGACCTCAGAAGGAAGTGCAGCCAACCTGTCTGTCAATGCCGGTTCCATTCTCAATGACCACAGCCAAAGTGTCTGGTTCGTAGTGGCCAAAAATGGGTTTTCTGGAAGAATGAGGGGAGAACAGCTCACACGGGGCCTCTAGAGAGACTGAGATGCAGGAAATACCTGGGAATGGGTGTGCCCCTTGGCCTTCTGTGGCCACAGCAGGGCGGGGCCACAGCAGCCACAGCAGCTCCAGGATGAGGCACTGATGGCCGGGGTGGGGGCTGCACGAGCCCCTTTACTGGCGCAGGTTGTAGGAAGGGCAGGTGCCGGCCGGCAGCAGCACATGGGCCCTCCTCCCTGGGGCTGCCCCCTCCTCCCTGGGGCTGCCCCCTCCTCCCTGGGGCTGCCCCCTCCTCCCTGGGGCTGCCCCCTCCACCCTGGGGCTGTCTCCTCATCCCTCGGGGCGTGCAGGGCTGCGGGGTTGCGGGGCTGGGGATAGGGCTGGGCGACAAGTGCAGGGCTCCCAGGGAGACCCTACCTCAGGACCCGCGCCGTGCTGAGCGTCCAGCGGGGAGTCAGCTCCTGCCCATCCAGCAGCACGCAGGCCTCCGAGCCCACAAGGAGCACATCCGCGCCAGCCTTCCCTGAGACAGGCACCAGGTAGCGCACTGCTCCAGCGCTAAACAGGAGGAGGGAGGAAAAGGCACAGGGTCCCCAGGGGCGAGCAGGAGGTCAGGGCCCCCAGCACTGCCTGTCCCAGGGCTGCTTCTCTCAGGCCCTCCAAAGCCCTGTATTTCTTAGTTCTACAGCTTGAAAATGCAAAGCAAGACCCTTGCTTCCTGTGCAAAGCCAGGTGAGCGTACCACTGGGAACCTTTCTTCTCCCAGGTTTTCACTCAGCTCCTGCTGCCAGTTTCTGGTGTCTGAGCCCAGGGTGGCCTCGTGGCACCAGCAGCAAGGCCCAGGCACCCCCAGCCCACTGGGCCGAGGTGGGCTCCACACAGACCCTCTGAGCACTGAGGCCTGTGAGTGACGTCTGTGAGTAGGAAGCCGCTGCCCAGACCCACCTGTGCACAAGCACCCTACAGGTGGTGGCGTTGAGTGTGTTCTCCCACCAGGGGTCCTTCTTGAACGGGCCGTCTCTCTTGGTCACCTTCTCATAGAGGCCTTTCACGGAGCAGCCGCAGAGGGAGCTTGCTGTTCAACGCACAGAGGAGGCCGAAGTCACCAGGGTCACCCACCAGCCCCACTGCCAGGAACACATGGTGCCAGGCCTGCAGGGACTGAGCAGCACGTCTACGGAGAGCCGGCGGGGACCACAGTCCCCTCACGCTGGGCTCTCCAAGGGTGCTGAGCTAATCGTCTCAAGCCCAGCACCGCCTCTGAGGGCGCAGCGGGTCCTGGGGACGGGGCAGGCACACGTACCGCAGGGGAGGAGGATGTAGTGGGCGCCCGTCCTGGTCACGTGGAGGAGGAAGCCGCTCTCCCCGTCGATGCCGAGGCTGCCTCTGTGCCCGATCTGGTGCCCGGTGCTGCCGGAGTAGATGTAACCGCTGACCTGCAACGGCAGAGGGCAGTGGGGACGGGGCAGAGCAGACGTTCAAGAGGGAGGACATTTTTTTTTTCCTTCTTTTTTTTTTTTTTGAGACAGAGTCTGGCTTTGTTGCCCAGGCTAGTGTGAGTGCCGTGGCGTCAGCCTAGCTCACAGCAACCTCAAACTCCTGGGCTCAAGCAATCCTCCTGCCTCAGCCTCCCGAGTGGCTGGGACTACAGGCATGAGCCACCATGCCCAGCTAATTTTTTCTATATATATTAGTTGGCCAATTAATTTCTTTCTATTTATAGTAGAGACAGGGTCTCGCTCTTGCTCAGGCTGGTTTCCAACTCCTGACCTCGAGCAATCCGCCCGCCTCGGCCTCCCAGAGTGCTAGGACTACAGGCGTGAGCCACCTCGCCTGGCCTTGGAGGACATCTTAAACGGTGCGGAAGGATAAGGCGGTCAACGCCCTCTCGGGGTGGAGGAAAGAGCGCTTTGCCACGAGAGTGTGCGGAGCGCCTGGCCCCGAGGAGGCTCCAGGCCCCAACACTGACGGCACGGACGGCAGGTGCACACGCTGCGCCTCCTGGGAAGGCCCACAGGCCCCACCCACTAGGCAGCCCCAGCATCCTGGGGGTCAGGAGTGGGGCCTGGCGGACCCCCAGCAAGCGGCCGACCCGAGCCCTGTCCGGGCAGTGGAGGCGACAGGGAGCAGGGCCGAGGCTGTGGGGGGTGTGGGCCTCGAGGACGGGAGGCTGGCGCCGCTGGTCTGTACCTCCTCCTCCTCCCGGGTGAGAAGCAGCAGGTCCGGGGCCCCATCGCCGTCCACATCCGGCACCTGGAGCAAAGGGCTCAGGATGGAGGCGTTCCTGCCGGGGCTGCCGGGACGGGTCCACAGGGTTTCCCCTAAAACCAAGCACACTCTCACCGAACGTGGCTCCAAAGCCCCCACAGCAGCCTGCAACAGCTCAGCCTCCGCAGCAGGCGCACGGAGGCAGCCGCCATAACCCGAGGCTCACCGCACGCGCAGAACGCCGTCAGTCACCTGCTCATGGAGGGCAAAGGCGTGTGCGGCCGTCCTTGTGAGGGACCGGCAGGTGTGGTGTGGTAACAGAACATGTGACGTGACCTTGTGAAGATGGTCTGATGGTCATGTGCCAACATGTTCAAAGCAGTGTTTCTGGGAACTGCAGAGCTCTCCCTTCTTTCCCAGTATCTGTTTCTAACAGCTGGCACTAAACAAGCACATCAGAACACCCAGGGGCGATGCTGACACTCCCCGCAGGTGGACAGGACCAGACCTCGACCACCTACCCAGGCCCCTCAGAACCCTGCCCCTCCTGTACCCTGCGCCTCTGCACCCACGCGAGCCACAGCTGAGCGGCCCCTCCCTTTGCCCTGCACGCAGAAGGCAGTGAAGGTGCATGCTCAGAGGTGGACCTACTGACCACGGTCCTGATGTAACACCTTTTTTCTTTTTTTTCTTTTTTTTGAGACAGGGTCTCACTCTATTCTCCAGGCTGGAGTGCAGTGGTACGATCACAGCTAACTGTGATCTCGTACTCATGGGCTCAAGTGATCCTCTTGCCTCACCTCCCAAGTAGCTGGGACTACAGGTGCGCACCACCACGCTCAGGGTCTCACTGTGTTGGCCAGACTGGTTTTAAACTCCTGGTCTCAAGCAATCCTCCTGCCTCGGCCTCCCAAAGTGCTGGAATTATAGGCATGAGCCACCGCACCGGGCCTGTTACAGCTTCTTACCCAGGCATGAACTCACCAAACCCTTTTTTTCAGACTGATTCCTTGATTCTTAAAATAGTTCCAGCCTGCTCCATATTTTCCTCCATATCTTTCAAACTACAGCATCTAAGGGCAATGCTAACATCCACCAAATCCAGGCAGAGAATTCCTTCGGACCTTGGTAAGGTGCGAGGGAGGATCCGACCAAACCACTTCTGCTCCACCTTGTGTCCCCCCCTTGGTGCTTGACATGACCTGTGACATGAGCGCTGAGACATGTGCCCTAAGGTTAAGAGCACCAACAGGCCCAGGCCTTCCTGGGGGAGGAGCCCGGGCTCCGGCTCTGGGCTCGCCCTGGTGCTGCCGCTGTGTGCACCCCACGCACAGCCGCAGCCTCCTCTCCGTGTCTCTGCCGCACAGGTTTCGACCAACGCTGCTGCGCATCCACAACCAAAGTGTAAACCGGAGGTGACAAGACGCAGTGGGACACATCAGAGCAGCAGAAGGGAGCTGAGGCATGATGAGACCTCCAAGCAGTTGCCCCCTTCCTTGGAGGTTTCCCACCCTGTAAGCTTCCTCCCGCCCAGCCAGCCACCCTGACATCTTGGGGCTGACCCCTGGCCTTGGCCCTGCCGGGTGAGGAGGATCAGGTGCAAGCCCCCTACCTGGCTGCCTACCTGTGAACAAGTTGACTGCAATGACGGAATCGGGTCTGCCCACAAGGATGCAGGCGGATGACAGCTTGCTGCCCCCTGGCTGAGACACAGCACACTTCACGAGGGCCACATCTGGGGCCACGGGCCTCTCCCAGAGCGTGCTGCCGTTGGCCCCGGACACAGCTGCCACGAAGGCACAAGGGGAGGACAAGCCTGGGGGAGAGACGCGCGGTTGGGCTGGCCACGGCCTGTGCTCTGCCAGCCCAGCTTCCCCACTTCACCCCGGCCACGGGCCCCGCCACGCGGCGCATGTCCTCTGTCCCTGGGCCCCTCATCCTTCAGCTCCACGGGCTCTAGTGCTGACCCCAGGGGTCGGTAGCCGAGGGGGCACTGAGAGCTGAGCCTGCTGCTCCCTGCCTCTTTCTAGTCCCGCAGGAAAGTAGAAATGACATCATGGTTTCCAGAAATGCCACCATTTGCTTCCCCCAAACACTGCTAAAGTGAGAGGATATATAAGGACTAGCACACAGAAAGACAAAAAAAAAAAATAAAAAAATAAAGTGAGAGGATGACCTAAAACAAAGATTCCTCCTCCCACAGGGAGTTCCTCCTTTCTCACATAAAGTCAAAATTACCTTCATCAGCGCAGGATCGGTTGAAATTATTGATGCCGTCGGTATTTTTATAAAGAAACAGAACATCTCGGATCCTGTCCCTGTTTATGTCTTCCACAGCCAGAAAGTCATAGGTGACTGAAAAAGAAAACCACGGACTACATTCCATGGGCCAGGCCTGGTTTACAGGGGAGGTCAAGACTAACGCCGCCTACACCTCTGCTCCAGGGGGTTTGGCACAGTCAGATCAGCCCACAAGAGAAGTGGCTTCTTTGTCACTAGGACGAGAGAATTCCGACACCTCCTCAGAAAAACAACAACTCTTCATGGACACGGCTGGGACTGGATGGTAGCGCCAGGTGTTAATCTTTAGGAAGGAACGTGCAGGACACCTGGGTATTATGACACCTTCTGTTTAGGAACGAATCCCTCCCTAGACCAGGTTGGGAGCTAGACAGTCCACACTCCACACCCGGCAGGGCCTAGTATTTCCTTTCATTCAAGGACTGAAATGATAAACTATATACCTTAAAATAAAACACCAAAAGAATGAAGTTGGACTTTTACCTTATAGGATGTATTTTAGCTTACACAATGTATCTCAAATGGATCAAAACAGCTGGGTGTGGTGGCCCACATTCTATAAGCCCAGCTACGTAGAAGCTCAGGCAGGAGGATCGCTTGAGTTCAGGACTTTGAATCCAGCCTGGGCAACATAGTAAGACAACATCTCTTAAAAAAAAAAAGGTGGGGTGGGGGCAAAGATCTAAACAGAACAGCTAAAACTATAGAACTCTGAGAAGAAACCGCAGGGAAAAATCTTCATGACATCAGATTTGGTAATGATTTCTTGATATAAAACCAAAAGCACAGGCAACCAAAGCAAGAACAGGCTGGGCTCACACCTATAATCCTGGCACTTTGGGAGGCCAACACAGGAGGATCAGTTTGAGACCATCCTGAGCAACACAGTGAGATCCAGTCTCTACAAAAAGCACAAAAATTAGCCAGGCGTGGTGGTGTGCACCTGTATACCCGCTACTCAGGAGGCGGGAGGATCACTTGAGCCCAGGAGTTTGAGGTTGCTGGAGCTATGATCATGCCACTGTCCTCATGTCCAGGCAACAAAGTGAGACCTTGTCTCTAAAAAAAAACAAAAAAAAAAAACTGAACCCTTGTGCATTGCTGGTGTGAAGAGAAGTTTGACAATTCTTAAAAAAGTTAAAAAATAGAATTAGCATGTGATCTAGCAAGTCTACTCCTAGACACATACCCGTAAGAATTGAAAAAGGGACCCAAAGGGCTACTTGCACACCACGCTCACAGCAGCACTATTCACAACAGCCACCAGGGGGAAACAAAGCGAGTGTCCATCAACTGGATGAGTAAGCAAAACGTGCTACACACCAAGGAATGAAACCATAGGAAGGAATGAAGTTCTGACCATGCTACAACATGAGCGAACTCCGAGGGCATCCTGCTACTAATAAGTGGAATTAACCAGACACAAATGGACAAACCTCCTATGACGCCACGCACAGGAGGAGCCTAGTGCAGGAACATCCAGAGACAGACAGCAGAGGCTAGAAGTGGCTGGGGGCAGAGAAATGGGAGCTATTACTTACTGGGTACAGAGTTTCTGTTTAAGATGATGAAAAGTTCTGTAAAAAGGGAAACAGTGACACAGCATTGAGAATGTACTTAATGCCACTGAACTATACACTTTAAAATGGACGTTTTTTTGTGAGGTATTTTACCACGATTTTTAGAAATCAAGCACCAGACACAGGACTTCCAGTCAGTGGTGCAGTGAAGAGCTTGGCAAATCCTCTCCCCAAAAAGTGGCAACAAAATAGGACAAATTTGTCAAAAACAGCCATATCAGGATTCTGCCTATAGATTAAAGACAAACAAAAAGCTGAGAAGTGATTTTAGTCACATGTCACACGGCAATGCTCTGGTCACTGACAGACTGACTGCATGTGCTGCGGTGGCCCCATGAGATGATAATGGAGTTGCCCTATACAGGGTACCATGGCCTAATCTTTATACCGTATTTTTATTCTGCCTTTTCTGTCTAGACACACAAGTACTTGCCATTGTGTTACAGCTGCCTACAGTGTTCGTTCAGCAGTGACACGCTGTGCAGGCTTGTAGCCTGGGAGTGACAGGCTGTACCACACAGCCTAGGTGTGCAGGCTAGACCCCACTCTATGCTGTTTGCACAGTGACCTAATGACACATTTCTCAGAACATATCCCTGTGGTTAAGCGACCCATGACGATATTTAAGAAAAACCACTAGACCTTGGGTCAGAACAGTGGGAACTGGAGGCATTTCACCTTGCACAGCTCCCATTCTCCACCTCCCCCCTCAATCAGCTACCCTCGAGTCTGGGCATTTCTGAAACAACAGGGACCTCCTGAGCAGATGCATGGTAGTCCAACTTGAAGCTAGCCACAGGTTGCGACACAGAGTGGGACAAGTAACATAGGAAGATTAACCAGACATTGAAGAGAAGGATCCAGCCATAGTTGGTCTTGGTAAGACCTTACCCATCACTGGCAGTCTGAAGGCTTTGCATATAACCAGGAGAGACTAGAGAGGCACCTAGCTATCTACACATTTATAAGGACAGAATAATCCTAACATCAAAGCCAGACAAAGATATCACAAGAAAAAAAAGCTATGTTCAGTATCCCTCATTAATAAGGACTTAACAATCTTCAGTGAATATTAGCAAACTGAATCCCCCAACTAAAAAAAAGATTCTGCTGGGCATGGTGGTATGTGCCTACACTCAGGAGGCTGAGATAGAAGGACGGCTTGAGCCCAGCCTGGGCAACACAGATAGATTCTATCTCTAAAAAAAATGAAAAACAAAAATATTCTATATAGCCATCTAGCAGATTTTATCCCAGGAATGCAAGGTTGGTTTAACATCTGAAAATAAATTAATGCAACATACCATATTAGTAGAACAAAGGACAAAAATCCCACAATCATCTCATAGACACAAAAAAAGCATTTGATGAAATCCAATATCTTTTCATGATAAAGACTCAACAAACTAGTAAAGGGCATCTACAAAAAACCTACAGTTAACATCACACTTAACGCTAAAAGATGTAATGTTTTCTCCCTAAGATTGGGAAGAAGATACCTGCTCTTACCAGGTCTACTCAAACTTGTACTACAATTCTACCCAGTGAAATTGGTCTAGAAAAAGGAAAGAAACACAACCAGATTGGAAAGGAAGAAGTATCTTTTTTTTGGGCAGATGACAACATTCTACGTAGAAAATCCTAAAGAATACACACACCTCTACTAGATCTAATAAATGAGTTTAACAAGGTCACAAGAAAGAAGTCAATATAATATCAGTAGTATTTCTATATAAAATCAATCAACCCCAAAATTAAATTCATAAAACAATTCCTTTCATAATAGCATCAAAGAGAATACTTCTGGAATCCAGAAGTATAAGACTTATACATGGAAAACTACAAATCACTGTTAAATTAAAGATCTAAATAAATGGAGATATACTCCATATACATGGACTGGAAGATTTAATATTGTTAAGACAGCAATTCTACCCAAACTAATCTATAGATTCTACACAATCACAGCTCACAGCAACATGAAACTCCTGGGCTCAAGCAATCCTCCTGCCTCAGCCTCCCAAGTAGCTGGAACTATAGTTGCCACCACCACATCCAGCTAATTTTTCTATTCTTTGTAGAGATGGGCTCTTGCTATGTTGCTTAGGCTGGCCTCAAACTCCTGAGCTCAAGCAATCCTCCCACCTCAGTCTCCCAAAGTGCTAGGAATACATGTGCGAGCTACAGTGCCCACCCTAAACCTGTCTCTATTTCTAAGCTAGTCCTGCTAGCAAGGAAGGGTGGTGTGATGGTTTTCCAAATTCTACCATTTGCTTCCACCAAACACTATGCATAAAAATTAACTCAAAATCGATCACAGGTTTAAATATAAAAGTGAATACTATCAGTTCGGTGCGGTGGCCCATGCCTGTAGTCCCAGCTACTTGGGAGGCTGAGGTAGGAGGATCCCTTGAGTGCAGAAGCTCAAGTCCAGCCTGGGCAACACAGCAAGATCCCCATCTCTCTCTTTTTTTTTTTGAGACAGAGTCTCACTCTGTTGCCTGGTTAGAGTGCTGTGGCATCAGCCTAGCTCACAGCAACCTCAAATTCCTGGGTTCAAGCGATCCCTCTGCCTCAGCCTTCTGAGTAGCTGGGACTACAAGCATGTGCCACCATGCCTAGCTAATTTTTTCTACATATTTTTAGTTGTCCAGCTAATTTCTTTCTATTTTCAGTAGAGACAGGGTCTCGCTCTTGCTCAGGCTGGTCTAGAACTCCTGAGTTCAAACGATCCTCCTGCCTCGGCCTCCCAGAGTGCTAGGATTACAGGTGTGAGCCACTGCACCCAGCCAGATCTTCATCTCTTAAAAACAAAAAAGATAAAACTACTAGAAGAAAATCTTCCTGACCTTGAATTAGGCAGAGTTAGATAAGACACGAAAATCACAATCCATAATAAAAAACTAATAAACTGGACTTCATCAAAATTAAAAACTTTTTTTTTTTTTGAGACAGAGTCTCACTTTGTTGCCCTGGCTAGAGTGAGTGCAGTGGCGTCAGCCTAGCTCACAGCAACCTCAAACTCCTGGGCTCAAGCAACCCTTCTGCCTCAGCCTCCCGAGTAGCTGGGACTACAGGCATGCGCCACCATGCCCGGCTAATTTTTTCTATATATATTAGTTGGCAATTAATTTCTTTCTATTTATAGTAAAGACGGGGTCTCGCTCTTGCTCAGGTTGGTTTTGAACTCCTGACCTCATGCAATCCTTCCACCTCAGCCTCCCAGAGTGCTAGGATTACAGGCACTCACCACGCCTGGCCAAAATTAAAAACTTTTATGCCTCAGAAGACACCATTAAAATAAAGAGACAAGCCACATACTAGTTGCAAATATTTGCAAATCATATACCTGATAAAGGACTTGTATCTAGAATACTTAAAGACCGTTTATTATTTAATAATATGACAAAAAGTCCTATAAAAAATGAAAAAAACACCTGAATAGACATTCACCAAAGATGATATAAGAATGGCTAAAATTCGCATGAAGAGATGTTCAACATTTTTAGTCATTAGGGAGATCCAAATTAAAAACACAAGATACCACTAAACAAAGATGGGTATAATAAAAAGACCAATCAAAGCTCTTATGACCTCCAAAAAAAAAAATAAATAAATAAATAAATAAAAAGACCAACAATAGCAAGTGCTGGCAAGGATGCAGAGAAACTAAAATCCTTCCTGACATCGTTGGTGGGAAAGTAACATGGTACAGCCTCTCTGGAAAATAGCGTAGCAGTTTCTTAGAAAGTTAAACATAAACTTATGTTTATGGCTCAACAATTCTACTCCTAACAATCTACCCAAGAGAAATGAAGACATATAACCACACAAAGATATGTATGTGAATGTTCACAGCAGAATTATTCATAACGTCCAAAACCTGGAAACAACCCAATGCTCACCCACCAGCATATGGATAAACAACGCGGTCCATACATACGAAGGAATACTACTCAGCAACAAAGACACAGGGACACAACACGAATGAACTTAACATCACGCTAGCTGAAAGAAGTCACATTGTACGATTTAATTTATATGAAACGTCCAAAAAAAGCAAATCTATGGAGACTGAGAGCAGACTGAGAAGGGGATGGGGAGCGAGGGTAAACAGTCATGAGGAATCTTTTAGGGATGATGGAAATGTTCTAAACTGGATTGTGGCAATGGTTGTACAACTCTGTAAATTGACTAAAAAATCATTGAATTGTATTTCTCTACAAAGGTTACAGAAAAAAATTATTGAACTATATACTTAAAATAAGTAAATTTTGTGGTATATAAATTATACTACAATAAAGCTGCAAAAAAAATAAAGAGAAATATAAATCCTCTTCCTCAAAATTAAGTACTAAATTCCGAATGGAAGTGGTCCTCAACAAGAAGTCCTCCTTACCCACCATAGAAGCCCTCAAGTCTGTGCAAAGAAATGCCGGGGCTGTCAGCATTCACACCAGGGAGAAGGCCCTGATTAAGGCTGCCTCAGTTGCTTTTCGTGAAGGACAAGATCGCAGACTGACAACTTCAGGACGGAAGTGAAAGCGCTTTACCTTAGCTAACGAGAGTGCTCGCCGGAGCAACTTGGGAAGCTGACTACACAATCCACTGCATTTTTTTTTAACATTTGATGACAGTCTCCTCTGTATCTTTCAGTAAGTTGCTCTGTCTTATTAATTTTTTTATTTAGAAAAGTAACCAAAAGGGCCACTTTCATTTATCTACCCATCCCAGTCTTCCCAAAAAAAGGGAGCACAGGCCACAAGGCTTCTAGGAGGTGCTTGCATTCTTACATGGAGGCTGCTTTACAGCTTCCTAAAATTCCAGGAAATCCCTGGACAGAGAACTGGTCGCCACTTAGGTTTGATTGCTGTTACAGATCACTGCCAGCCCCAACACACAATGCTGCTCCCTCCTGCGAAGAGGCTTGGGAGGTCACTGGCACAGAGAAGCGTGCCGAGACTCACCTGCTGCGTTGTAGTCGACCCTCCACGTCCGCTGCGACGCAGGTCGGTCCGGACACGGGATGATGAATGAGACGACAAACACCACAAAGAGGCAGATAAACAACGAAAGGAAAAATGCCACCGTGCGGCATCGGGAAAGCCGGGACTGCAGGTGCGTGCTTTGTAAGTTATCCTCATTTTTCAACTGGTTTCCCAGATTTTCCTGTGATTTTCTGTCTTCATTCTTCAAGGGGTGGATTTCAGCTTCTAAATCCTTGTTGTCCATTATCGCATGCACATCCCAAAGTTTAACTCCTGGTCACTGTGCCAATAAAACAAGAGGTGGGCAAGGCTGGCAGTCCCACGGCAAGGAGCTGCAGCACACAGAGCTCTCTGCCAGAACCAGGGACCAGGGCCCAGGATACAGCAGTCGGATGGATGTTTAGGGGTCAGTCTTAACAGGCTAGGCTGTACTTAAGGTTTCTAATCAATGCAGAAAGGTACAATAGTTGTGTAGGGCCAGCACTCATTCTTAGCACGAATGGAGTGAGCCTCAGGGAGTGCTGGGGCTGGTGCCGGAAAATAAGCCCACATGTTACATATTAACCAAACGCCACCTATTCATCACCTGGGCACACCTGACAACCTTCCCCGAGCCTCAAGCACAGACAGATAAGGTCGCCCAGGTAAGAATTTGGTGGAACCAACATTCTCACACATGGACTCCCTAGAGGGCCACAGACCCCAAACTCAAAGCATCCTAAGTGAAGACAGGCTCTGGACTGACAGCCTTGCCCCTCACTAACCATGTGACCTGTGATAAGTGATTTGACTTAACTGTGCTTCAGTTTCCTCTACAAAAGAGAAATAATATCTACTTTAGAAGACTGAGCCAGGCATGGTGGCTCGTGCCTGTAATCCCAGCACTTCGAGAGGCCAAGCAAGGTAGGACGATCACTTGAGGCCAGAAGTTCGAGACCAACCTGGACAACATAAGTGAGACCTTGTCTCCACAAAAAATTAAAAAGTTCACCAGGCGTACTACACGCCTGTAGTCCTAGCTACTCCAGAGGCAGGAGGATTGCTTGAGCATGGGAGTTGGAGGTTTGTGCCATTGTACTCTACCCTGGGCAACACAGCGAGACCCTGTCACAAAAAAACAAACAAAAAAACAAATCTGTATGCATTCTCCTTAGTGCTGAGGCATAAGCTTTTACATCTTGGAGGTCAGAAAAGGTATGCCTATCAAAGGTAATGAGTTAGACACAGGAAATTCAAACAATGAGTCATGATCAGGGACCTCATTAAACCCAAGTGGCTGACACAGAGTGAGGTGGTACAGCAGCAGTTGTCTGGAGAAGGTGGCAGGGGGAAGGGCTAGCAACAGAGCCTGGGAGTGGCTTATCAGCAGCACCTATGGGGCTGGAACCAGGGCTTAAGAACTCGAGAGTGCTGTTTATTTAGCAAATCTAGCGACCGATCATGTCCCCAGTAAAGGGATGTTTAAAATGTTTCAAACATAAATTCTTTTGGCAAAGGAAAAAAACTGAATGAGAAACCAGAAGGCTAAAATTCTAGGTTTCTATCTTTAAAGCTTTAAAATTTCTGGCAAGGAACTCAAGCTCTTTGAGCCTCAGCTGGCCCCATCTGTGCGAAGCCAGAGCATCTCCAAGGAAAGGACACGACAGTGCCCCTAAGACCATGAGGTGTTGCACAAGAAGGAGCACCTGCTCAGAATGACACTGGGAATCTGAACACACGGCCGCCCCGTCTCATGTGCCCATGTTTCCCAGACCTACCTGGTGGCAGGAGGACGTACTCAACACTGGTTCCTGGCCAGCCGCTGGTGCATCTGGTCACTAGGTTTGGAGAGGGAATCTGTACTTTTATAATCCCAGGCAGACCTAGGAATTGTAAAGCCATTGGTGAATTCATCTCAGGTAGCCTATGAATGTATCAGTTGAAGGACTGAGGTCCTTCCAAAGCCAGGACTCCCAGCCTTGGCTCCACAGTAAAGCCTCTTGGTGCTTTCACGACCCGATGCCACACCAGAGGCATCGGCCTATCTGGGGAGGGGGTTCCCAGCAAGAGCAGCTGTTGACGCTCTCCACGTGATCCCAAGGTGCAGCCAAGTGGAGAAGCACTGGCAAGAAGTCTGCCCTTGTTCTGTTCGTCTCACTTTAACCATTAGATGACAACTAGATGTCTCCTGGCCCCTGCAGCGGAGACTGTCTCCCCACTCCCAGCCTGGAAGACGGAAAAGCAAAGGGAGGAAAGAGCCTCTCCCTCTCATCAAGACATCCGAGGCTGCATTCCGGGTTTCCTTGGAATTCTCAGCAAGTGAGTCAAGCAGACCTCAAGCTAGTGAATTAAATGGCTCCTTTACTTAATCATTCTTCTAATCCCTAAACTATGTGGATTCCCAACACTAAGACCAAAGGATAGTGTGAACAATTATTAATGTAGTTAGGATTTTTAATTTTTTAAAAATCAGCAATAAGGCTGGGTCTGGTAGCTCATGCCTGTAATCCTAGCACTCTAGGAGGCTGAGGCGGGAGGACTGCTTAAGCCCAGTAGTTTGATGTTGCAGTGAGCTATGTATGATGCTACTGCTACAGTTCAGCCTGGGCAACAGACAGAGACCCTGTCTCAAAAACAAAACAACACCTTGGCGGGGTATGGTGGCTCACACCTGTAATCCTAGCACTCTGGGAGGCCGAGGCGGGAGGATTGCTTAAAGTCAGGAGTTCGAAACCAGCCTGAGCAAGAGCAAGAACCCGTCTCTACTAAAAATAGAAACAAATTAATTGGCCAACTAAAAATATATAGAAAAAAAAAATTAGCCAGGCATGGTGGCGCATGCCTGTAGTCCCAGCTACTCGGGAGGCTGAGGCAGGAGGATTTCTTGAGCCCAGGAGTTTGAGGTTGCTGTGAGCTAGGCTGACACCATGGCACTCTAGGGGCAACAGAGTGAGACTTTGTCTCAAAAAATAAATAAATAAATAAAAATAAACAAAACAACACCTCGTTTGTTGCATGTAGTAAGGAATGAGGATTGTTACATTTTCTTGGTAGACTGAACTTTTATCATTATATAATGTCTACTCCGTCCCTAGTAATTTCCTAGCTCTGAATGAAGTCTGCTTTGTGTGATGCTAACATAGTCACTCATCCTCTGATTGATGTATCTTACTTTTCCCATCCTTTTACTGTCCACCCACCTATATCTCTACGTATTTGAAGTTTCTTTCAGATATCATATAGATTTTTTAAGCCACTCTGCCAATCTGTCTTTTAATTGGTACATTCAGACCACTCACTTTTTTTTTTTTTTTTTTTGAGACAGAGTCTCACATTGTTGCCCAGGCTAGAGTGAGTGCTGTGGCATCAGCCTAGCTCACAGCAACCTCAAACTCCTGGGCTCAAGCGATCCTACTGCCTCAGTCTCCCAAGTGGCTGGGACTACAGGCATGCACCACCATGCCCAGCTAATTATTTCTATATATATTAGTTGGCCAATTAATTTCTTTCTATTTATAGTAGAGACAAGGTCTCGCTCTTGCTCGGGCTGGTTTCAAACTCCTGACCTCGAGCAATCCGCCTGCCTCAGCCTCTCAGAGTGCTAGGATTATAGGCGTGAGCCACCGCGCCCGACCCAGACCACTCACTTTAAACATAATCATCGATGTTTGATTTTAATCTGCTTTTTTCTTTTGTTTGTTTCCTCTATTTTTTGTTTCTGTTTTTCTTAACCTCCTAGTGGGTTACTTGAACATTTTTTAGAATTCCAGTTTGATTTATCTGTAGTGTTTTTGAGTGTATCTCTCTATATGGTATTTTAGTGGGTACTATATTATATTACATGCACTTATCACAATCTACTGGGTGGGCGCGGTGGCTCACACCTGCGATCCCAGCACTCTGGGAGGCTGAGATCAGAGGATTGCTTGAGCTCAGGAGTTTGAGACCAGGCTGAGGAAGAGTGAGACACTGTCTCCACAAAAAAATAGAAAAATTAGCCGGGTGTGGTGGCACCTATAGTCCCAGCTACTTGGGAGGCTGAGGCAGGAGGATCGCTTGAGCCCAGAAGTTTGGGGCTGCAGTGAGCTGTGATGATGCCACTGCATTTCAGCCTGGGTGACAGAGCAAGATTCTGTCTCAAAACAAACAAAAAAATCTACTGGAGTCTACATTTTATTAGTTAGAACACATTACTAGTTGGAGTGAAGTATATAAACCTCAATTACCTCCATAAACCTTCCCTGTTTACAATTGTATCAAATATTTTCTCTACATACATAGAGAATCACATCAGATAATGTTACACTTTCACTTTGTCAAACATAATTTAGAAAACCCAAGAGAAGAAAAGTCTATTATATTTACCCACATTTTTGCTTTCTCTGTTGTTCTTTCTTTCTTATTAAATGTTCCAAGATTTGGCCGGGTACGATGGCTCATGCCTGTAATCCTAGCACTCCGGGAGGCCAAGGCGGGTGGATTGCTCAAAGTCAGGAATTCGAAACCAGCCTGAGCAAGAGCAAGAGCAAGACCCCCGTCTCTACTAAAAATAGAAATAAATTAATTGGCCAACTAAAAATATATTTAAAAAATTAGCCTATAGTGGCTGTAGGTGGCACATGCCTGTAGTCCCAACTACTCGGGAGGCTGAGGCAGAAGGATTGCTTGAGCCCAGGAGTTTGAGGTTGCTGTGAGCTAGGCTGATGCCATGGCACTCTAGCCTGGGCAACAGAGCGAGACTCTGTCTCAAAAACAACAACAAAAAAATATTCCAAGATTTTCTTTTATCATTCCTGTCTGTTTTAAGAATTTCCTTCAACCATTCTTTTAGGGTAGGTCTGCTGGTGACAAATTCTCTTAGTGTCCCTTCACTTGATAATGTCTTATTTCCCCATCATTCCTGAAGACTAATTTCACCAGATATAGAATTCAGGGTGTGATAGGTTCTTTTCTTTCAGCACTTAAAAAATGTTATGCTACTTCCTTCCAGCCTTCATTATTTCCAATGAGAAATTTAGTGTCATTTAAATTGTTTTTCCCCAAAAATAAGGTGTCAATTCTCTCTTGTTTTCAATTTTTTTTCTTTGTCTTTATTTTTCAGAAGTTTGATTACAATGTGTCTTGGCATGGATTTCTTTGGGTTTATCCTTTTTGAGGTTTGCTTGGTTTCTTGAATCTGTAGATTAATACCTTTTGCCAAATTATGAATATTTTAAGCCATTATTTCAGTTTCCTGGGAGGGCTTTAGGGATGCAAGAACTGTAGCCCAGACCATGGAGGACCAGGGAGAACAGTGGGAGCCCAGGTTCCGAGCTCCAGCCAAGCTCCTATGTACTCTGTGTCCTCAACCCTTTCATCATTTCCTTTAAAAGTATATTCATAGAGAAAATGTGAGTGAATTAAAGAAGTATTAAATAAAAATAATATAATTGTTATGCAGATATGGCAAAAATCATGAATAGTACCTGAAAGAAGTCTGGGAATCCTTGCTTTCTGTATGCTGCAGATGGTGGTTAGCCTTACTGTGAACCCGTCTAGGAAGAGAAAACCAAAATATCTCATATGGTGGTACAGTCCCAGCTCTCTGAAAGTTTGCTGTATTCTGAGCTAAAAATCTGCTTTCCTACAACCACCTCCTGGTCCAGATTCTGTGCTTTGGAATAATACCAATCCCCATTTCCACATGTAAGCCTTTCCAGGATCTACAGAGCATTAACAAAAAATGTACTCAGGTGGTTTCACCTGCTATTAATATAGCACAACGGTTGTCCACATGACATGGGTTATAAACGCTTCGGTGTCCTTGAAAAGCCTAAGCCTAACACTTTCCAGTCTCTTGTCTACTTAAAAATCTTTCCCTTTCAAATCCTACCCATCCCTCAAGGCTCACGGCAAAAGCCATCTTGCTTATGAAACCCTTTTCTGGCTTTTCTAACCCAATGTGACATAAAAGTGAAACACATTTCTGACTATTTGGGGAGGAAGGGGTAGTTGTGTGAATTCACCACACCAGAAACGGAGCATCACAGTTCAGGAACACAGATGTCTGAGGATTGTCTCTGAGGTTGCACACCACTGCCTCATCTACCCCATGCAGGGCGGGAAGGCAGTCTGCTACTGCCTGTGCTCCTGTCCAGGCCCACCTCCTCCCGTCTGCGGCACAGCAGGCTTCTTACCCACCCTCTCTAAGTCAGTCACGGCTCTTGGTTGTAAAAAGACGATAGCTAATTTAGGCAGAAAAGGAGTTTGTTAGGAAATTGGACGGTACCCAGAAATGATGGGAAGACTAGAAAGCCACACTCAGAACATGGCAGGTACCCAGAGACGACAGGCAGCAGAGACCACAGAGAGTCCATGGCCACAGGAGCAGTCAGGTTAGGACACTGCTGCTGGCACCAAGCACCTGGTCTCTGGATACTGCCCCCAACAACTCCCACACGGTTCTTGCAATGGGGGCTCTCCCAGGACAGGCTGGTCACACCCCAAATTGTGTAGGGACCACAACATGTCCTCAGGCTGTGCCTTCAAAGTGCTTATCAATTTCCCTTTCTCTCCCTCTACGCCCACCAGTGGCCTAGAGAAGTTTGGAGAGGGCAACTAGCATATTATACAAAGTCCTATGGAAAAACATATAAGAACTATCCTCTGGTTATCTTTTAAATGTAGAGAAGGAACAGGAAACGTTCTACCCGGGTTTTCTCCTAGTGGATGTGTCACATGGGTGCCCAGGCCTGGCTACATCACAGCACAAGCAATGCCAAAGGGTCGTAGTTCTCATCCCAGGCAAAGTCTGGCCTCAAACGGTTATTTTTATATTGGGATTGATAATAAATGATTGATAGAAGTGAGATATGGGCAGGTGAGGTGGCTCATGGCCATAATCCCAGCTCTTAAGAGGATAGTAGTTTGAGGTCAGGCACTCAAGGCTGCAGTGAGCCATGATCACACCACTACACTCTAGCCTGGGCAACAGAGCAAGATCCTGTCTCAAAACAAAACGGAAAAAAACAACCCAGAATTGAGATGTGAGATATTGAATTCTGCTTGGTGATATCTTCAAATGTTTGACAGGCTTCCCACGAAGGGTAGGGCTGGGACGGACAGAGCCATAATGCATCCCAGGTAAAATAAGGAGGGACTTTGTCAGCATAGTTCGAAAATTTAGTGAGCCTCCTTGGGCGATAATAATTTCCCGTGAAGAATGCAAGTGCAGGGTGAATAGACCACCTGGCACGCATGTCTTCGGAGACAACTTTTGAGTTTCTTTCCAACCCTGACATTCTGTGACTATAGGGTGAACCCCAAAACTGGCCTTACATCTCCAACTTGCCTGCTGTCTCTTTAAGAACAAAGACTCTTGCTGTCTCTGCATAAACGATGGGCTGGCTCACATAATCTACCCTGAACTGTCTCTTTTAATTATTAATAGAGTTCCAAGATTCTTGTCCCAGTAAAAGATATTTTATAAAAATAGGTAAAAGATACTGCGATCTTTCTCTAAAGGTTTCTTTCTGTTCTTTATGATAGAAAACAGAAGCACCGGCCAGGTGCGGTGGCTCACGCTTATAATCCTAGCACTCTGGGAGGCCGAGGCGGGAGGATTGCTCAAGGTCAGGAGTTCAAAACCAGCCTTAGCAAGAGCAAGACCTCGTCTCTACTAAAAATATAAATAAATAATTGGCCAACTAAAAACATATAGAAAAAAATTAGCTGGGCATGGTGGTACATGCCTGTAGTCCTAGTTACTGGGGAGGCTGAGGCAGAAGGACTGCTTGAGCCCAGGAGTCTGAGGTTGCTGTGAGCTAGGCTGATGCCACAGCACTCTAGCCCGGGCAGCAGAGTGAGACTCTGTCTCAAAAAAAAAAAAAAGAAAACTGAACAACCAAATACTGGGTAGGGACCACATACTCAATTCAAATAATGTTCAAATAATGTTGTTTACCTTAAAAACAAACCAGAGTTAGATGGATGGAGAGATGATAACCACAGTATCCTCTCAGGAATATTCTCACTGATTCCTTCAAGAAACAACAATAAATTATACCCAGGATTTCCTTCCCACTAGAATCACCCAGCCGAGCTGGGCCTCTGAGGGCAAACCAACAGGTCCCTCTGCCACATCTGCGGCTGGATACAACCAGGCAGGAAAAGCAGGCGGTGGGAGCATTCATGTGCTCAGAGACGTCTTAGGAAAACCCAGGAGTCAGGGATGAGGACACAGGAGCGTGTGAAGGAGTACAGGGGGTTTGTCAGGGTCAGCTCTGCAGCTTGATTTTGGTGCTGGTTGTACCAATATCTACTTGTGATAAAGTTTTGCGCGGTTAGAAACATACAAATGAGTGCATGTAAAAACTGGTGAAATCGGAAGGAGTAAGGTCTGAAGTCTACTTAACCGCACAGTGCCAATGTCCGTTCCTGCTTTTGATAACATGCTGGTTATATAAGATGTTACCTTCAGGGAAGCTGCAATACGGTACAAGGAACAGCTTTACACTATTCTTACAACATCCTTGTGAATCTGTAAGTAGTTCAAAATCAAAAGTTTTAAAAAAAAATCAAAAAAGAAAAGAAAACGTTCAGCAAGGGGGTGGGTGGGGTCAGAGACTCACACAGGTGAAGAGGAAGAACTGGCTTCTCCACAGGCAGCCCCAGTTCATCCCTTAAAGTGACTTTGTTATGCAGCTGTTTTGTTCCAAAGGGTGGGGATTTTTTGTGTTTTGTTCTGTCTTTGCAAGAATATCAACCATAATGGAATTTTGTGGTAAATAAAGAAATACTGAAAGAACAGCCAAATCTCTTGGCATGCTACAACTCCCCATGACAAAATAATTACTGGCATCCCGAAAGCCACCCATTGCGGTCATTTCCCTTTCCACTGGGGGGGGGGGGCGGGGAAAGAGATACTTGTAGTTCTTCACAGCGTCACTCATTTATGACACCCCAAAACACCTCTAGCAAAAGGCAAATGCCAGGGTTCCATATGGGTCACTTCAGCCAGACAACCAGGGATAAGGTAAAATGCACAAAGGACGGGAGCTCCAACTGTGAAACACCCTCCACATCCTGAGCAGGCCTCAGCCCTGCTTCAGAAAGGGTATGGGCATTGAACTCAGACCAGTCTGTCTCTTGAAAATAAAAAGTTACCAGAAACTCCTTCATAGCATCCCCAGGTAAGATTTTCCTGGAAACTCTAGTTGGCCACCAGAAAACAGGGGTAGTCGGCTGGGTGCAGTAGCTCACGCCTGTAATCCTAGCTCTCTGGGAGGCCAAGGCGGGCGGATTGCTCCAGGTCAGGAGTTCAAAACCAGCCTGAGCAAGAGTGAGACCCCGTCTCTACTATAAATACAAAGAAATTAATTGGCCAACTGATATATATATAAAAAATTAGCCGGGCATGGTGGCACATGCCTGTAGTCCCAGCGACTCAGGAAACTGAGGCAAAAGGATCGCTTGAGCCAGGAGTTTGAGGTTGCTGTGAGCTAGGCTGACACCATGGCACTCACTCTAGCTTGGGCAACAAAGCGAGACTCTGTCTCAAAAAAAAAAAAAAAAGCTTTAGTTAAGACATAACAGATGAAAGAAGGATGCTAAAGGAAAATGACCACGAGGTTAGGAGATCTGTGTCGTTACCTCATTAGCATCCAGTATTCCTGCCTGTCACTTCTAGCAAGGCGGCTCTGGAGGACAGAAACTGAAAGCCTATTCACAGAATTTCAGATAGTCAATGACTGGAATTTTCTCCTGTCAGTTCTGAGCTTCTGACATGATAACTGCAAAATCCATTTATTGATTTAATGCCATGTAGAACAAAATAAGATATAAAGAAAAATGTGTGCGATCAGAAAGAAAACACATCAATATAATACATATTGATTAAGGTAAAAGATCTATGGCCGGGCGTGGTGGCTCACGCCTATAATCCTAGCACTCTGGGAGGCCAAGGAGGGAGGATCATTCAAGGTCAGGAGTTCGAAACCAGCCTGAGCAAGAGCGAGACCCCGTCTCTACTAAAAATAGAAAGAAATTAATTGACCAACTAAAAATATATATACAAAAAAATTAGCTGGGCATGGTGGCACATACCTATAGTTCCAGCTACTTGGGAGGCTGAGGCAGGAGGATTGCTTGAGCCCAGGAGATTGAGGTTGCTGTGAGCTAGGCTGACACCACGGCACTCACTCTAGCCTGGGCAACAAATTGAGACTCTGTCTTAAAAAAAAAAAAAGAATGTCTTCTACGTTATGTGGTTTGTATCACTGCCAAGAGTGGCATATGATATATATTTTGATAGCAGCTGAGTATGAGGTATTTGAGAGAAACACCCACAATAACCAACTAGGCAGTACTGGATTTTTCAGCTGAGCAAAGCAGATGTCAGACAATGACAGCTATAGTGTTCAACTGTTTACAGCAAGCAACTATTTCCTCCCTTCACCAAGAATAGTCCAAAGACAAAGAATAGGCCCATACTCAATTTCCAAATGAGAACAAACTTAAAGGTCATGCACGGTTGCCGGGCAAAGCAACCGTGCATGACCCACCCCTGACACCAGAGCCTTCCTTCAGATAAATGAAAAACCTCTGAAGTGACAAAGGACTCACAGGACTGTGACAGAATGGTTGCCCATCCCCCCACAGATACGGAAAGGAAATAATGACAATAGGAAATACCCAACAGAGGGAATGACCTGAAAACAAAAAGAGCAAAAATGTTTTCCATCTCTTTAAAACCTCAGTCTTTTTGACAACAAGGACCTGCATCCCTGCTTCAGGCTAGCTTTGGTGGGGAAGGGGAGTGTCTTTTGTTCTTTCTGCTATAAGAGCTGGCTCAGCCAGCCAGACCTGGTGAGGGAGGAGGGAAGTCCTGTCAGGGGATTGTCTTCAGCAGAGATGGGACCATCAGGATCATCAGCTGTAGTTGAACAGCAATTGCCTGAAGCTGAGAACCCTTTAGTAGCTCTGTATTTCTGTTTATTATCAGGACATGGCATTACAGACAGAAGTCTCCATCTTCCTCATTTGTTGGCAAATTAACAAATCTCTTTCCTTCTCCTCAAACCACTTGTCCTTGTTCTTCTGATGCAGGCTTGAGGACAAGTGCCAAGCTTTCGGTAACAGAATCTCCTAAAAACAAGTTGAGGATCAACAGCTATCTGCATTTCAGATGAACGACTATTATAAAGAATAAGTTTTGCAGGTTTGTCCAGAAAATAACACAGAGTAAACCTTTCTCCTGAATTCTAAGATAGACTTTATGTCCTGTGACTTCTTCACAAAAGGGGGGGAGGGTGGAGAAAGAAAGCAAAACCTCTTAAAAAGATAAAGTATAACTCAAACTTGATCACTTTTGCTCAACTCTACAAGTAGGCCTTAGCTTCAATTTACTTCTTTTATCATATTTTAAAATCCTTTATTATGTAAATGTTCAAACATTCACAGAAGTAGAGAATACCAGCCCCATGTACCCACCACCCAAGTTCAACAATCACCAACATATAGCCAATCATTTTTTTCTTTTTTTTAATCTCAAAATGTTAAGGGGGTACAAATGTTTTTGCTACATGGATACCTTTTATAACGCTTAAGTTGGGACTTTTAGTGTGTTCTATCACCCAAATAGTGTTCATTGTGCCAGATAGCTAAGTTTTTACCCCTCACTCCCTGCTCCTCCTCCACACCCTCTAGAGTTATTTTCAACTATAAGCCAGCACACTTCTCCCCCATGCCCCACCTCTGATTATTTTAAAATTTGCTCCACTTTAGAAATAAATCACTTGATTTCTTAGCATCTGCTTTGAAGTTATTTGGTTAGGAGTTAGCATTTTCTTTTCTTTCATTCTGATAACCTAAGTTTCATGAACAATTTTGCAAAGTGAGAGAGGTGGCGGGGCGCAGTGGCTTGTAGTGCTTATAATCCCAGCACTCAGGGAGGTGGGAGGATCGCTTGAGCTCAGGAGTTTGAGACAAAGTGAGAGTGGGAACAAAATCCACCAAGTTTGTGGGTTATAAAGACCAATTTCTTTATAACCAATTGGTTATAAAGACCAATTTCGAGTGAGATGTACAATACATTTTGAAACATTCAACAAGTCCTGTAGATTCTAACTTGTCCATTTCTTGTTTAGCCCCTCCTTTCAATGGCCACTACTTTAGGTCATCTTCTTATTACTTCCCACCTGTATTTCTATAGCCCTTTCAAATGCTGTAAAAATTAAAATATCATTTGATCATGTCCTGGTTAACATTCCAGAATGACTCATCACAACTTTGGAACGAAGCTCAAACTCCTTAGTTCAGCTCCAGGTCTTTTCACCGCTTGGCTCCTGCCTCTCTAGGGTCCTCCCCCCAGACCCCACACCCACCACGTGTTCTAGCAGTGTTTCCCCCCAGTCACCCTGCTGTCCTTTTGCTCTCATTGGTTCACCTGCCGTTCTTTATCCAGTAGCTTTCACCATGTCTTCAAAGCCCCCTTCATGGCTGACTTCCGCTTGGTGCATTCTCTGACCCTTCACACAGCTCCTACTGAGTCAACTGGGAAGGCCCCTAGACTGTGAGGAACTTGAGGGCATACAATTGTTTTTATCCCCTTTGTTTCCCAAGGAACAAGCATAGTACCTGGCATAAAATAAACAAACACATTCACATGTCTGAATAAATGCCCAATTCTTTTTTTTTTTTTTTTTGAGACAGAGTCTCACTTTGTTGCCCAGGCTAGAGTGAGTGCCATGGTGTCAGTCTAGCTCACAGCAACCTCAAACTCCTGGGCTCAAGCGATCCTCCTGCCTCAGCCTCCAAGTAGCTGGGACTACAGGCATGCCCACCTGCGGCTAAGTTTTTCTACATATATCTTAGTTGGCCAATTAATTTCTTTCTATTTATAGTAGAAGCGGGGTCTCGCTCTTGCTCAGGCTGGTTTCGAACTCCTGACCTCTACAATCTGCCCGCCTTGGCCTCCCAGAGTGCTGATTACAGGCGTGAGCCACCACACCCGCCGTATGGGGGTTTTAACATATGTTCACAACTCTTTGCTATTCCTCCCTTACAGAAGATGACACCCTTTGTAGGTAGTACACTAATAAAGAGAATGTGGTACAAGTAACTGTTTTAGAATTTCAAAACTAGGTCATAAAAGGTATTGTGGTGGAAACCTTCCCCCTTCTCCCTGAGATCACTTGCTCTGAAAGACGACAGTTACCATGTGAGCACACAGGCCCTACACAAAGGTCCACCAGGCATGAAAATGAAGATTCAGCCAACAGTCCAGAAAGGACCAAAGGCCTCCAGTCATTAGCCACGTGAGAGAGCCATCTTGACATCAGATTCTCCAGCTCCAATCAAGCTTTTAGATGACAGCAACCCCAGAAACCCTGAGCCATAGTCAGCTAGGTAAGCCACTGAATTCCTGATCCACAGAAACTGTTGGATAATAAATGTTGGTTGTTTCAATCCATTAAGCTTTGTGTTAATTTTTTACAAGCCAGATAACTACTACAGGAAGGTAGACTAGAAGTAGGAGCCTGAGAAAAAGGCCAAGGGACATAGGGCAGAGAGAAGGTATATGAAAGCGTGGAGAAGTGGTAAGACATCCCCACCATTGATCTCCATCACGTCTCAGACCCCATCTTAACTCTGGTTCCCTAGACCTTTCACTGTGAAAGCCAGTGAATCCCTCCATAGTTGGAATCAGTTTTAAAGGATTCCTGATACTTGAAGCCAAAGCATCCCCAACTGGCGCAATCAGGACTCAGAGCTGGTAAACTGCCCCGAATAAATGTTCCACTTGAAGCCTGGGTCATTACCGTTATTCCTCCTCTTCCCTGTTCACATGCTCATATTTTGATTAATTATCTAATTTATTATCCTGTTCTGCAGTAGAATTGCTCTTGAGACGGAAGTTTGTCTGTTTTGTTGAGTACCATATCCTCAGCACATAGAAGCCTGAAGTCTGGCACCCAGCAGACACTCAGGAGTATTTGTTGAGCTCTTCCAGCTGCTCTAACTGAATGCTCACTGTGAATCTGCAGTGAAAGAAGTTGTTGATGTGGCGCTGCCAGCAGAAGGACGTTAGCAGCTGGTACGAATGAGGAAATCACCCAAGCTCTCGCTGAAATCACAAGGTTACTGAGAACCCACAAGCAACTCAAGTTGCCTACTCTGATACAAATCAGCCTGTTCAAGGCAAACTCTCCCTTGACAGCTGTCATCCATTCATTTACGGGAGGGCTGGAAACCTTCCACAGACTGTTTTCTCCTTTAATCGCTGTCTTGCTTTTGTTCAGTAAAACAGACTGTACCTGACTGTACCTTACACTCCCTCTAGGTGTGTAATAACAGCAGCTGAGTTCCGGGTTCTCGGCCAGTTAGTCTTACTGATTTGCTTACAGACAATGTCCTGATAACAGAACATGAATGTGTGACCCTTGGATGAGACGTTCTTGTTTACTATTCAGCGTGAACTAAAGCCAACGGCTGTCTGCATGCGTGGAGCCAACGTGGGGTGTGAGCTCCCGGAGAGTTAATCCTGTCTCTGGGTGCAAA